GTTTTACGGCTGTTTATTGCACAACTTGGTCATATGGCTGTTTCTCACATTACTTTGTCATCTGACTGTTTCTTACATTACTTTGTCATATGACTGTTTTTTAAATTACTTTGTCATAATGCTGTTTCTTACATTACTTTGTAATATGGCTGTTTCTTACATTACTTTGTTGTACGGCTGTTTCTTGCACTACTCAGTCTTATGGCTAATTCTAACATTACTTTTTCATATAGCTGTTAATTACATTACTTTGTCAAATGGCTGTTTCTTACATTACTTTGTCATAAAATTATGACTGTTTCTTACATTACTTTGTTGTACGGCTGTTTCTTAAATAACTTTGTCTTATGGCTAATTCTTACATTACTTTTTCAATTAGCTGTTTCTTACACTACCTTGTCAAATTGCTGTGTCTTTACATGACTGTGTTATATGGTTGTTTCTTCAAAAGAAATGCAAGTAAAATGTCGTAAAGCTTTCTTAAATAAACATCTGCATCCATAAAATTTGCGATTGATAAAAAAAATTTTAACTGTAATTGGTTTAAGACTAGCTATATTCATACTACTGGGATAAATATTCCATTATAAAAAGAAAATCGGATTACGATTAAGCCATTTTCAGGTTCTGTCAGATCCGAAAATAAAATATAAAATTTTAATCTTACCATTACTAAATGGTCCTTAACGCTTGATTGTATGTGACAGGGTGACAGCTCATATTAGATAAGTTTTATGGTGCTTTTATTAATCAAAAGACAGGCAATAGTCAGATATGGTTAATTGGTTTGTGGACAGTGAGCTAATGGTTCTTACTAGAGGTTAAATTAATTTATACAAATAAACGTCAATTGCAACCAGCTATTCCCAAACTTAAAGTATATATTCTTCTGAACTTAAATAAGAACAAAAATGACCAATGTGGAGAGTTGTCTCATTGGCAATCATACAACGTCTTCTTATCTTTATATAAATTCACGTGTTATTTTCAACCATTGGAGCGTATAAAATGTAATTTAGATCTTTTTGGAAGGACTCGATTCAAACATAGATTTGAAAGAGGTCCCCGACAGCTAGCTTAGCCTTCAGCAGCTTCAGAAGTATGTCTACCATATGCAAATTAATACATAATAAAAAACTACACAAAACACATTTACAATGAGTTTTTTATTTAAATTTACATATTTTCACTAATACTAATATAACTTTGCTTAGAATTCTGTTAGGTAAAACTGTAAAAGTATGATGAAGTTGTTTCAGTTGTTTTATAAAAAAAACCACCATTGTATCAAACTACCATTGTCTATTCCTTGTGAAATGCTGGAGATATCGTCTTTCCCTTTTGCATACTATCCTTAACCCATGCTTAACGAATTCTCCGTTTGGAGATGTAGAATGTATAAATACGAAGTCACGCCCGGTCTAAATTGGAAAGATAAATACAATGCCACGTGTAGGTAAAATCCCAAGTTTTGTTCACGTTACAGAACACTTACATTCACTCTTTTAGGGGTCCGTAGGTGGCATGTTGCAAGGCAAAAACGTTGCCCCTATCCAACACTTTTCAAGTGATAGTTTAAATTTTACCATCATTCGTCCAGGTCGACCCACTTTGCATATACTGCCTACTGGAATTATTAATGAAATATTTACCACTGGACCTTTGGTGAACACAATCCATCATGTATCCCTTCAACTAGACAACAATGGAATAATTTAGTCTACATTGATTCATAATTAATGTAGGACTACCGTCACAATTCAAAACTGAACTTGAAAATTTATAAGATTTTATGTAATAGTCCATAAGCACTTTTCCCCTTTCTTAACGTCGACCTTTCTAAGCTCAGTATCGTTTCTGATATATCTTGTTGCTGTGGAGATCCACATGAAGACTCAACACATTTCCTTTTTTCGTATACAACATCAAGTTTATTTCAAACCAGAAGCAGTACAGCTTATATTATATCAGAAATATGTGCTTGTAAATTATAACAGAACATGTTAAATACAATCGGAGGTAAGACTATGAGTTTTAATAATTCAAAGGATTGTCATGAAAATTTTATATCTGTTGCGTATTTTAAATATTTTCGTAAGTTAGATAATTCCTTTACATCCTTTGTTGACAATAAATGAACCAATTTTAAAACATTTACATTTGTTTAATAATGCTTTTTTATGTACAATTTTTTTATGTTATCATATTTTAAACTGTCTCTTTACTCTGATTATAGGACTGCATTAATTCATAACATATTACAGCACTGACGATTTTCCTTTCGGTCTAAAACTGTTGATTCGCAGAAGTATAATGCTTACGTACGAGAAATGTTCAGAAAAAGTTGATTCTATGAATTTAGATTTTCACATACCGAGAACTGACTATAGTATGCTTGAATCGGTTATCTAGAACTTTAACTGTTGGGATTGGAAAAAGTTAGTTCCATTTCGATTTTGGAAACTTCCTACCTCGCTAGGTAAACCCAATTTGCGACAGTAAAAAGATGCGGAAATAACCAAAGGAACAATCAAAATTCATAAGTCGATAAATCCTTCAATTTCACTTTGCCAAGGTAAAAACACCATACAGTAGTATTTCACACATATTCGTAATTATGTATTCCATAAAAGGGGTGCATCGGTCGAGTTGTGATCTTAATAGATTTTAAGTAGATTGATTGATCTTAACTTCCAGTGGCAAATATTTCATGCAATGACGAGATTTTAAGTAGAAGAAATAGATTTGTGGGTGAAGTACACTTTTTATATTGTGAAGATAGTCTGTTGACGATTTATGGAAAATGATGGAAAACCCATTTGAATTCATTTCAATCCATTAGTTGCTGCGATAACCTTGTCCTTTGACCAAATGACCTTGGGATATTTTCCCCCAAAGGCAAATTTTAATCCAGACTGGTAAAGATCTTGATCTATTGCTCAATAGATAATTTCCTATAACGAATCTTTCAAACTTTGTAATATAGGAACGGTGACATTACCTTTCAATATTAGCAACAATATTCCAACTTCACCCCGTATGCGATATTCAAAGCTTGCAGCAGCTGCTACTCAGACTTTGTAAAACGTCGATGTTTGAGCAAAAACTTAATGAGTCACGGTTTTGTCAGAGTACGTCTCGTCCTTTTTCTCAAAAAGTTCATCGGAAAGTACCAAGACCTAATAGATAAATATTCAGTGTCTACTTTACAAATTAATAATACAAAATTTTCTTGAGTTATAGATTATAGGTGCTGAAGCTGTGTAACTTTTTATTTTACTTTATTTTCCCGTTATTTGTCTTCGTGCTATTCTGTTTCTATTGATCGTATGACTTTTGACGTGACTTGGTATTGATGCATCCCACCATAGGGTTTTTGACTTTTAACTTTGTGCATTCCCGGTGCAGGTGGGTCCTGAGGTGCGATTTGGAAACAAAGGGTGTTTATTGTGTTGTTTCTGTTTTGTTTACCCATGTCTTTAGTTTACCTAATCCTCACTTTATCGAGAAAGTGTATACTATATACGGTATACATGTACTATCAACGACAAAAACCTTTTTTTTTTGTTGCTGACGTCATTGTCTAACTGTCTAAGTTACGTCACTGATGAGTCTTTTGTGTACAAAATTTAATCCTAGCATCTATAATGAGTTTATTACTATCTACTTCACCTTTTTTGTTGGAGTCTTTAGTATATCTGTTTTATTTTTTAGTCAGTTGTGTTGTATGTCTGCGATGTATGTTAATAAAGGTTTGGCTGCTGAATCCCAAATATTGTCATATTAACCTATTATGTCTGTTCGGGTTGCTTACCGAATTTTAACAATATAACGGAACTATAAACAACTGTCACACAAGGGGAAGGGGAAGGAGGTTAGCTTACTATAAAATCCAATTAAACCCACCATTTTCTTCGGGAAATGTCTGAAACAAGTCAGGAATATGGCGGTTGTTTTTCACTAGTTCCATTGATTGATAGTGTTTGATTTTGTCAGCTTTTATGGACTTCCCCTTTTTGAATTTGCCTTGGAGTTCAGTATTTTTGTTATAGGTTTTTCTCAAACCTTAAGTTGTACAAGGCCAGACAGGGTTCCTATTCTTTGCAAGGATCATTTCTAACTCAACTTTGGTGTATGTATCAAGAAACTAAAATTTTGCATAAATTTCAGTATATCAATAACTGTTGTGACCTTGACAGTAGACCTTTGACCCCAAAATCAATAGTAGTATTACTAACTCCATGGAGTATTATAGAACCAAGATTGGTTGGTACCATATATGTTGACAAGTGGATAATCCAATGCCTTTATAGGACAGCATTCATCATGTCATAATCCTAAAGACTTCCTCATAATTCAGCTAATAATTGCTAGTTGGTTTAAGCTCAACCTCAAGTAGTAAACAACTTACATGGTAATGAACTTTTACCTTCAAGTTGCCTCAACCTCTCATTAAACAGCATTTAACATTCATGGTGATTACAATTGTTGAAGGCTGACCTATAGTTGTTTACTTCTACGTCAGTGGTCTCTGGTGAAGTCTTGCCTCATTGGCAATTATGCCACGTCTTCTTATTCTGATACAAAGTCTAATCAATGGGGTTGAATCATAAATTTGGGTGTTTGCTCAGGAAGTTTAGCCTCTATCGAATTGACATATTTGCAAACTGGACATTAACCTCAGTTTAGATCTTAGACATTTCTCCATGAAAACAAATAGGAGTCATTATCTCTGGAAAAGTTTGCCCACAATGGTTATATCCGACTGAAAAGGATTCATCTGTACTAATTTAAAATAAATGGAGATTAGCCTCTCTATGGTGATCAAATATACCAAGTTTAATTAGGATTGTCAAATAAGTTACAATACGAATATATGTGTTAAATTTCAAATCTTTTCCTAAACAATAACTTGTTTGGTTGCAGAAAAAGGCAAGACCATTGAAAATATAAACACAAATTTGACAATATTTGCTCCAAATAAATTTAAAAGAAACACGTTTTGATATTGGAAGTTTATTTCTGGGAAAAAGACATGAACTTGTAGAATTTAATAACTTCATGGAAAAAGTGAAATCAACAACATTAGGTTGATTTACTATAATCTCTTTAAAAGAATTAAAAGGATGCTTATAATACAATAAAATAACACATTATGTCACACAATGGTACAAATTTATGTATTTACAAATCATATTTACAGTATTTACAAATAAATAGCAGTAAAGTGCTTAAAATTTACAAGTTAAAACAATAATAAAACAATATTAAAAATCAATTTTCTGAATTTTTTCAAAGAAACCTTTGTTGGGTGATGTCTGTTTATTTAATAATATGGTCCAATGTAACAATCAAACTGCACCTTAACCAAGATGTTTATGAATATTACTGAATATTCATTAGCTGCCGACAGATATGGGAACTCTTTAAGATAGATGAAATCTGTACTTTAACGAATCATTCTGAGGTAATATGATTTCAGGTAGTTAAAGTAAAAAATTAAAAACATAAACTCAACTTTTTATTGGCCAGTTTTTTAATGTAAAATTTTTTTGAATGAGCAATTTATCATAAGAACATACTTCATACTTAGGGAAATCACCTAAAGTCTTTGCATTTTTTTCAAAAACAAAAAGGCAGAATGGTCCTAAAAAAAACCAAACATATAATGATTTCCCTCTGAAGTGTATTTGATAAATGAATAGCCCAAAAAGTTATCTTCATCACTATATGAGCTTAAACCTATTAAATTGCAGTTATTTACCTAGTTGTATTGAAAGTAAAATATAAGGGCCATAAATACAATGAATTTCAACAATTTAATCTTTGATCGGGAAAATTCAGCTATATTGCTAATATCTAAGGTCATTAGGTTTCATTTTCTACAATCAAAAAATTCCTAGTTGCCTGTTCTCATGAAAAAAATATTCCATAAGTAATATGGAATGAAATTTATACTAGGAAAAGATTAACTGACAATTTAATATCAATGCAAACAGAAATGTTAGTTTTAAATTCACATCTTAAAACAATATGAACGGAAATTGTCTAGAATGTTCCCACTATCAATTCTTTTACATTGTACATAATCTTATGGAAATAGCTACACACAAAGTTAAGCTATTTTGTATGACTTTTGTATATTGTTATGTAATCGGTTTGAAAATATCACCACTGCTTGTGTTTTGTATTCAGATTATTGAATATCAACTTTAAATAAAACTTTGAACTGAATTCATTTCAACTTCTAAACAACAATTTACCATTTTTTTAATACTGTTCAGTCAACAATGTATTATAACCTGTAAGTAATGACAATATATACCATTCAACTGTTACAACTCTTATGCAAAAATATAGTTTATGATAAATATGAGGTGTAGACATAATCATTTTACTATAATTGACAATAAAAACAACAAGTTAGGCCTTATACAATAAACTATTTGCTTCTCAAGCAAATCATAGTATCCAGGTGAGACGACATGGCCCTTTTTATTTAAATCAAACATTTAAATTAGACAATAACCTCGTCTTTACAGATATTTGTTTATTTCATTCAGTACAGGATTTTTACAGAGGTGCTGGGTGTCAGCTAGGTTAACCATTATCTTTTGATGTCTTACTCACAAATATATTACAATCTAATTTATCATTTTCCAATCCATTCTTACCCTGTTGTTCCATTGTTTATAAAGTCAAAATAAGTCCCCTCAGCTGATCTTATGTAATCTCATTAAAATACATTGTGTGTCGAGGCTGTGCTTACAAGGATCTGGCAATGCTCTTGTGTACTCTCTTTTGTGATCATTGGGTTTCGAGATGATACACATCTTAAAAAAAATTATGAGGCAGAAATTTGATTGGCTGACATAATTAATGATATGAACAGAAGTAGAAAGTAACATTGTCAATAACTTGTAAGTGAAGTGAGGACATCTGTATGTTTTATGTTTAATATGGAAATTTTAGTGTCATGAATACAATTTACAAAATGTGTACTTTGCAATTATTCAAACTATGTTCATTTGCAGTTTTTGTTCTAGGGCAATCAATAAACAATGGTCTGACTGTGAGATAACTGACAATATTTCAGTTTCATATTCAAAGAGTCAATGCAACAGTAACACAATTATTTATTTACTAATAAACTGTTATCACAGAGATATGTCTCGCCTTTTTGTAATTTTGATAATGCAAATGTTGAAATTACAATAGCAATACTTTAACATGTAAGTTATGCAAATATTCAAAGATCGATGAACCATGACTAAGGGTACATGGCTAAACAATCTCCATGGAATGAGATGTGCCAATGCTAATACAACTGCATACCAAATACCATTGACTTATTATAAGTCGTTCCCTTTAAACAAACCTAAACACAAACATTAACTTGTAAACTATGTAAAAGTTTCAAAGTCAATGAACCATGATCAGGGGTGGGGCTATATAATCTCCATGGCAACGATACTTGCAAATGCCAATACATTTGCATACCAAATATCATTGAAACACATTAGCAGTTTATCTTAAACTGATCTAATCACAAACTAATACATGTAAACTAAGCAAAAGTTTCAAAGTCAATAGACCATGACTGAGGGGGCGGGGCCAAATATTCTCCATGGAAATGAGATGTGCTAATGTTTATACAACTGAACACCAATTAACATTGGCCTACCACTAATGGTTCCCCTTGAACTGACCTAATCACAAACTCATACATGTTAACTTAGCAAAATTTTCAAAGTCTATAGACCATGACTAAGGGGGCGGAGCCAAATAATCTCCATAGAAATGAGATATGCCAATGCTTATACAACTGCATACCAAATATCATTGACCTAATCACAAACTAATACATGTAAACTATGAAAAGTTTCAAAGTCAATAGACCTTGACTGAGGGGGCTGGGCCAAATAATCTCCATGGCAATGAGATGAGCCAATGCTAATACAACTGCATTCCAAATATCATTGACCTACCACTAGTGGTTCACCATTAACTAGACCTAATCACAAACTAATACATTGTTGACGCTGCCATCACCGCCGCCGCCGGAAACAGCATACCTATGTCTCGCTTTTTGACTACGTCAAGGCGAGACAAAAATAGCCCGTCTTTTTCAACTGACTTTTTTTGACTACTGTGAATTCATTTTTTTTTCTGTGGGTACTGATTTTCATGGATTGATGAAAACTGACGTTGCGTTTTAACAATTTTCTGTATATAATCCTGTAGAAAACTTGTTTTATATTTATTTTGTATATATTTTATTGTTTAATTTGATTTTAATTTTTAACCATGAAATCTATTACCCTATAAACAATAATGACTGCACATGTGGTTTGTATAGTATTAACACTGTAGGTCTTCTGTCCCTGACAATACCTACAGTATTGTCATAAACAGGAAGTGCATGAGAAGTAAAACATTTATTTTCTGGCCAATGAAACAACAGGAAGTAATGTCCATTTTTAATGAACAATCTTACCTGGCAATAATTAAAGAGCCACAAAAACTCAATAAGTTATAACAGGACAAAAATCTAACTTGGTGTATCAACAATGTCTTAACTCATGGCACAAAATTAAATATCTATGAAGAAAAAAATTTAGATTAACTTCTATAAAAAGGATTGGTCAAGTGTCGTCCATTTTATTTTGACCTAATATATTATGAGATGAATCTGTAGTTTTTGATGCAGTCTGGTGAGGCGTGAATGAGATCAGATGTGAACTGCTGCTTGGTAATGTTGTTCCTGGAAAAAACAAAAATGTAACATTAATCATTTATATATCAGAAATATAACAAGTAAACAACTGGCACTGCTAAATTAATCTCTCCGAAATTGACATTAATAGAGAGAAAACTTTTTTTTTCTAGGATCAAAATTGCTAGTCCGCTTGGAAAGATAAATAAAACGTTGAATTATTGCTTATTTTTCACCTGTAAAGTAAAAAAAAAAAATATTTTCAGTAAAAGTGAACTTGGTTTTAGACACATTGCCCTGAAAATCAATAGGCTTCTTCCTTTTTTCTATATCTTCCATCTGTACAAGTTTTATTCCAATCAATCAAGGGAAATTCAAGTTACAATATTTAAACCATTTCCACCCAAAAAAGTCATGACCTTGACCTTTGACTCTTAAGATCGATAGGCTACTTTTAACTTCCCTTTATCTTTCATCTGTACAAGTTTAATTATGAATAAGCAAGGTGAACTCAAGCTACATTATGGAAACAATATCAGATACCTTGACCTTGACCTTTGATCTGTATAAGCTTCATTCCGATCATTCTAGGGAAACTCATATCACCATCGGGAAAACATTTTACTTAACAAAATCTATTTATATTAACAGTGACATTGAACTTAAACCTATCGACCTCAAAACCTTTAGTCCCTATATCTTCCATTTGAAAAAGTATCATTCCAATGGTTATGAAGCAAGAGAAACATGAGTTACAATCAAGAAACCCTCATTCATAAAACTAGAGGCTCTCAAGAGCCTGTGTCGCTCACCTATATATACTGATGCTTTGGAAATCATGTAAAATAAGGTTAAAATCATAATTAATAGTATTAGATATTAGATATTATAATGATATCTAAGATAATAAAAAAAAACTGCAAAATTTTTGTAAAATTACTAACTAGGGGCAGCAACCCAACAACGGGTTGTTGGATTCGTCTGAAAATTTCAGGGCAGATAAATCTAAATCTGATGAACATTTTTGCCACCCTTGTCAGATTTGCTCTAAATGCTTTAGTTTCAGAGATATAAACCAAAAACTGCATTTTACCCCTATGTTCTATTTTTAACCAAGTCGGCCATGATGGTTGGAAGACGGGGTCATCAGACAAATTTTTTAAACTAGATACCCTAATAATGATTATGGCCAAGTATGGTTAAATTTGTCTCCAGTAGTTTCAGAGAAGAAGATATTTGTAAAAGATTAAAAAAATTTACAAAAAACTGTTAAAAATTGACTATTAAGGGCAATAACTCCTAAAGGGGTCGACTGACAATTTTGGTCATGACAACTTATTTGTAGATCTTATTTTGCTGAACATTATTGCTGTTTACAGTTTATCTCTATCTATAATAATATTCAAGATAATAACCAAAAACTGCAAAATTTCCTTAAAATTACCAATTCAGGGGCAGCAACCCAACAACAGGTTGTCAGATTTGTCTGAAAATTTCAGAGCAGATAGATCTTGACCTGATAATCAGTTTTACCCATGTCAGATTTACTCTTAATGCTTTGGTTTCAGAGATATAAGCCAAAATCTACATTTTACCCCTATGTTCTATTTTTAGCCATGGCGGCCATCTTGGTTGGTTGGCGGGGTCATCAGACACATTTTTTAAACTAGATACCCTAATGATGATTGTGGCCAAGTTTGGTTAAATTTAGCCCAGTGCTTTCAGAGGAGAAGATTTTTGTAAAAAGCTAACGACGACGGACGACGACCGACGGACGCCAAGTGATGAGAAAAGCTCACTTGGCCCTTAGGGCCAGGTGAGCTAAAAAACCAGCTGCCTACCTGTACTACTTGTAGATGACAGCATGGTTGTTGATGAGACTGTTGATGCGGATGGTAATGCCACCTCCTAAAAAAAATAATATAAAGAACTCTTATGAAATGTTTGTCTGGCTATCTAAAATCAAAACTATTTATCTACAATATCTAAAATTGGTTGCTTAAAACATTTACCTGGTGTAAATTTGCTTGATATATATACAAGGTTTAAAACTGCTTAAGTTCCAAGAAAAACCAGTTCCGTACTTAAGCAAGATTTACTTCTCAACTGTAAATAAAGAGCTTGAATTCTTATGAAGCAAGAATCTTGCTATCTGATTGGTTAAATACCTGGGGATAAAAAAATCCAAATTTCCAAAAAAATTAGAATGCAAAAATCCCCCCCCCCCCCCCCCCCCCCCCCAAAAAATAAAAAATATTTTGCCAAAATTGTTTAAAAAAAAGTTTCCCACAATTTTTTTCGCTCAAAAATTCCCCCCCCCCCCAAAAAAAAAATTTGACAATGCACATCAACATCGGTGTTGAAAAAATGTATAACGGGAGTTCTTCGTAAGAAATTTTCAATTTTACACCCCGGTATAAAAATGTGCAAAGGAAAACTTCATAAGAAATAAATTCATAATCTTGGCATAGATAAGAATTTATTATTTTCCAAATTAGGTCCCCAGGGGGGCATACACATATAACAATTATAATCTTTACAACCTACTGTATTTTACATGACATTCATAAAATACACCTAAAATATTGATAGAAAGTGATACAGGCTGTTATATGTTAAATAAAAATAAAAGTGACGCTTCCCAAATTTGTACTTGATCTGAGTTTTGTGGTAATAAGTATTGTGTATAAGTTTCATAACATCTGGTTGAGGCACACTTAAGTTAGAGAACGGAAACGAAAAATTCAGCAATTTTTCCATTTGTAAACAGGCACAACTCTAGAATGGAAAAAGTGACACCACCAAAATTCAAACTTGATCCGTATTTTGTGGTAAGAAGCATTGTGTACAAGTTTCATAGCATTTGGTTGAGGCTAACTTAAGTTAGAGAACGGAAACAGAAAAAATCAGCGATTTTTCCATTTGTAAACGGGCATAACTCTTGAATGGTAAAAGTGACACCACCAAAATTCAAACTTGATCTGTATATTGTGGTAGTTACCATTGTGTATAAGTTTTATAACAATTGATTAAGGCAAACTAAAGTTAGAGAATAAAGGGGCATATCTCTAGAACGGTTAATGGACGTCATACTTAACTCCAAATTATACACAAGAAACTAAAATTAAAAATGATACAAGACTAACAAAGGCCAGAGGCTCCTGACTTGGGACAGGCGGGGATAAACATGTTTTTTGAGATCTCAACCCTCCCCCTATACCTCTAGCCAATGTAGAAAAAACAAACGCACAACAGTACGCACAGTAAAACTCAGTTTAAGAGAAGTCCGAGTCCGATGTCAGAATAGGAAACAAAAGAAAATAAACAAAATGACAATAGTACATAAATAACAACAGACTACTAGCAGTTACTGACATGCCAGCTCCAGACCTCAATTAAACTGATTGAAAGATTATGTCTTCATCATATGAATATCAGGCACAATCCCTCCTGTTAGGGGTTTAGTATTATACCATCATAAAATATATGAGAAGAACATAACCCGTGTCATGCCAACAACTGGTTTTAGAATAAATATGTTTAATTCCGATGCAAAGACCCTATAAGTGAATCAATTCACCAAAGTTTCATTAGAATTGCTGAAAGCATTTTTGAGTTTTTGTCCAAAAACTGGAAAATCCCCCCTTTTTCTATGAATAAAACCATGTAACTCGGAAATGTAAAATCTAAAATTTATAAAAATTGAAAGGGAGCTCATGTCAATAGATATAAACAATTCACCACAATTTCTTGCAAGTTGGTGAAAGCATTCTTGACTTATTGTCCGAAAACTGGAAAATCCCCCTTTTTTTAATGAATAAAACCCCATAACTCGGAAACGTAAATTTCTAAATTTTATAAAAAACGAAAGGGAGCTCACGTCAATAGATATAATCAATTCACCAAAGTTTTATGCAAATTGGTTAAAGAATTTTTGAGTTAATGTCCGACATGTTGACGACGGACAGAGGTATACCATAATACGTCCCGTAAATGGGCGTATAAAAGTATTTAAGAGTTGCTACTCCAGAGATGTGGCAAATGTATTTTATTTTTTAAATTTTTTGCTGGAAATGTATAAATATAATTGATTGTTTATCTGCAACAGGTACCAAGGGACGATGCTCTAGGATTGTGAGCTTAAGAGCTTAAGGTGCTGAAAATTCTGTACACTGCTGATTACAGTAGAAAGGCTTGTATAGTTCGCACTGGTACATAGTCCGCACCCCCTTCTCCCCACGAAATTTTAGGTAAAAAAACTTTTTGTAACTGTTAGAAAAGGTCTAATGAAACTCCAGTAATTTCAAATCCTGTGCGGTCGTTTGCGGTATTTTCTTGGAAAAACCTGTTTTCCATCATCAAACAGAAGCTGAAACTGCTTGTCAATGATTCTAGAACGCTTCATGATTGTTAAAATAAGTTTAATTCACTTAAAAAACAATTTAGAAACTTGTGTATGTTTAAACAGGAAGTTTAAAAAGCATGTGTAAAAGAAGAAATTAACCGGTGAGAGTCAAAATCCGTACATAACAGATATCACTATAATACGACTTTGAAAGTAAAACAGTTCCATCCTTTTGTAAAACAGTCTTTAATATATCTATCACATTAATGTTTGAAGGGTCTTACGCTAATACAAACCATATTAGTCAGTATGAAACACCAAAACGGAACGAACAATAACCGATTACGTTTTGTAGTTTACAAATTCTAAGCTGGTTTACGGTTGTCTTTTTTACTATGTTTGTATCGTTTCAATCAAGCAGATGCCAGTTTATTTCAACCAATGCATTGAAAAGAAACGAGAAATTTGTAATGAAAGGTTTAGTTTTTATATTTATCAGTATTAATTTGATATTGAATAGAAATAACTTATTAATATGGATGAGTTAAAATTATTATTCTGAAAAATGATAAGAGCGCCCTCTACAATATAAATAACAAAGATGGCTGAACGTAAACAAACCACCTCACCCGCGAAATTGAAATTTTTCTCTTATTTCTTGCTTATTGTACTCTATAGTCCGCACCCCGTCTGGAAGGTCCAATTTTGGAGAATAAAACCACGGACTATACAAGCCTTTCTACGGTACACAAAGTTAACTAATAATGCTGAGTGCAGTGTAATGTAACCACACAATGACAACATAGAAATGTTTAACAAAACTAAATAACTAAACATGCCTGTTCCAAACAGTGAACCTCATCAGTGGTTGTTTTTAGTTAACTTAATTCATGTTTATCCATTGAAGAATTGGTTGTTGATGACCGATTTTTGGATAATGTGAAATTTCTTTAGTTTGTTTAGTGGGGATTAAGATCTTTACAAATGGTGTAGAAACTTGTCTCTTGTTGAAGATTGTATAATCAGATATCTTGTTTTGTTTTTATTTAATGTATGTTGATCTAGATGCTCAAAGTAGGCAGTATTGTTCACTTATGACTAAACTTAAAACTGCCTAACGTTTTAAGGATTTCATAAATAGTAAGGTGCTAGGTCAAGTGCAAGGGTCTAAGAAGTCTAGATAAAATGCTCCGCTGGGGCGCAGCTTGATACGACCGCAGAGGTCGAACCCTGAACAGTTGGGGCAAGTATGGACACAACATTCAAGCTTGATACAGCACTGAATTTGGATTGTAATTAAATATTTGACACAGCATAGGTTTCTGACACAGAATAAATGTGGTCTAAGAACTTAAAAATTTTTAATTTATCTATTCAAACCATATCATTATTATTTGCTTTTATATATAAATCAGAAATAACCAATTTAAAATGGAAAATTTTAAAGAAAAAAAGGGGAAAAAAATCCCCCCCCCCCCCCCAAATTTTTTTAACCCCCTTATGATTCATCACCCCCAAACTCAATCCCAGCCTTCCCTTTGTGGTATGGTACCTTGCAGTACACATACATGTGATGGACTGTGAAACTAAGATCAGGAGTTTTGGAGATTAGGACTCCGATCAGGATGTTTTTAATCGACATAAATTCTGTCGTAAATGTAACCGTGTGCTGTAGAAATTGTCTGTTAAAGTGTGTTTTCTTCAACTCTCCATCCGAATGTATTATGTTTATAGTACCTTTGTACTTATAAATTTTCTCTATCTTTTTAAACTTTCAACTTGTTCAATCTAACATTCTTCTTTTTCAGTATGTTCTTTAAATTTTTTAGGTCATATCTTTTTTACCATTATTCATTGCAATCAGAACATTTGCTTATCTATCTGCAAGTAGATCTTTTATTTTTATCTTTATGCAAGTAGATTTTTTTTTTTATCATTATATGCAAGTAGATTTTTAATGCATGATAAATAACACATTCAAACTGTGAAAATGGGTCATAGTTATTATATAAATTTCAATTTAAGCCTTGAAAGGAAGTATAGAACCCTCAAATAATTTTCAAATTATTATTTTTTTATTTGTCCTAAAACATTTAAAATCATTTAATTACCATCCTTTTATGATTATTTGTTCAATTTATATTTTATTTATATTCTTTTTAAAAAATTTACATTATTTAAAGGAAAGTAACTTAAAACAGGATAAATCAAGGGAAGTAACCCAACATTCATTTTAAATAAACAAAGTTTTATTACACAACGGCAGTTAGCCTGAGGTAAAAATCGTTTATTACCAGTATGTTTGACACCCAAGGTGACAAGTGAGGCCATATAATTATGCATGTTAATTGATTTACAGGTAAAATATAACTTCAGTAATGTCAGTAACACCAGATATGTTGGGCTGAAATTTTTCATTCATGAAATATTTCATACACGGGATTTTTTTGTCTTCAACGGGAGGTCGGGAGGAGACCCCTGAAAACGGGATTATTGTACTCCCGTCGGGAGGTTCACATGTATGAACTGTACAATTTCAGAGAGATCCATACACTTGAACACAAGTTATTGTCTGGAAACAAGAAAAATGCGTTTTTTGGCCCCAAATTCCTAAACATTTAGGGCAAATACCCCCAATCTCAAACCCAGCTTTCCCTTTGTGATATGGAATCTTGCAGTACAATTTCATAAAGATCCATACACTTACACACAAGTTATTGTCCTGAAACTAGAAAAATGCTTGTTTTTTTGCCCCTTTATGGCCCCTAATTCCTCAAATTTCTAGGGAATTACCCCCAAAATCAATCCCAGCCTTCCCTTTGTGGTTTGGTACCTTGCAGTACAATTTCAGAGAGATCCATACACTTGAACACAAGTTATTGTCTGGAAACTAGAAAAATGCTTATTTTTGGCCCCTTATTCCTAAACGTTGTGGGCAATTACCCCCAAAATCAATTCCAGCTTTCCCTTTGTGATATGGAACCTTGTAGTAAAATTTCATAAAGATCCATACACTTACACACAAGTTATTGTCATGAAACTAGAAAAATGCTTGTTTTTTGCCCCTTTTTGGCCCCTAATTCCTAAAATTTGGAGGCAATTACCCCCAAAATCAATCCCAGCATTCCCTTTGTGATATGGAACCTTATGGTACAATGTCAGAGAGATCCATACACTTACACACAAGTTATTGTCATGAAACTAGAAAAATGCTTGTTTTTTTCCCCTTTTTGGCCCCTAATTCCTAAAATTTGGAGGCAATTACCCCGATAACCAATCCCAGCATTCCCTTTGTGATATGGAACCTTGTGGTACAATGTCAGAGAGATCCATACACTAACACACAAGTTATGTCTGGAAGTTACAAAAATGCTTATTTTTGGCCCCTTTTTGGCCCCTAATTCCTTAACTGTTGGTACCATAACCCCCAAAATCAATCCCCACCTTCCTTTTGTGGTATTGAACCTTATGGTAAAATTTCATAGAGATCCATTCACTTAAACTAAAGTTAGAGTGCGAAAACCAAAATGTCTTCGGACGACGACGCCGACGACGCCAACGTCATACCAATATACGACCACAAAATTTTTTTGCGGTCGTATAAAAACCTACTGAAAAAAATATTCAAGAGGACTTCTCAAAACTTATCAAAAACAAACATTTAGAATAAAAATAAAGTCAATTAAATCAATTTAAGCCTTGAAAATAAATGAAAACTACTTTTGGAACCCTTTAGGACCAGACAATCTAGTGATATATAATAAACAGTTAAAGGCAAAGAGTGGCATTATAGTTGCCATGTGGCATCCAATCAGTACAAAATGAATAATCTTTAGCCTTTAAATAGGACCAGACAATCTAATGATACATCATAAAGTCATATGAAACGAGTTTCTTGTAATTTAATGTTATCGAAATTATTGAACCAATGCATGCACATATACTAAACTAAGTCCTATATGCACGTTTTTTTTTAATATTTATTACGAATCTATAACGTATTATCGACAAATTATCTTTCATTCAGTGAATGTTGATCACAAGCTAATTAATTTTCAAGTATGTTGCCGAAGTTTACTGGATCATGACATTGATAAATATTCAAGACTGAACAAATAAGTGAGTTGATAGCACCTATGATATATTTTTTTTATATTTTCCATGCGTTTACAATTGTTAATTAAACTTTTCCTAAATGGTTGTTAAATGATTTGTTGTATTAAATTTGTTCTTTAAGAATCAGTTATTACTAATCACCTTCCAGTGCACATTTGTTTAATTTCTTTCATCACAATCCCCCCCCTCCCCTCTAGATTCTGTAGAAGTTCTATTTAAAATCCTTTGCTAGTCTTTAGTTTAGGAGGAGTTGCCAATACTAAGTGAAGACAGACAGACAGACAAATGAACAAATTAGCACACAGACATATAAATAAACATAAAGATTGAGTTAGCAGGGGTATCTTAAGCCTTCATTTTAAAATAACCTGTGTAACTTTTCTGCACCACGTACACAGACTATTGCATACTGCATTCTTCCTTGAACCAAGAAATATGTAACTATCCTTTAAAGTATGACTTTGTTTTATACCTCTTTGGTTTTAGCTGCTCCTTGTTCTGTAGTGTTAACAGAGAATGGTACTGAAAGTCTGGCATTGACAGCCAACAGATGATCACGTCTGGCTGTTAAGGATTTTACATGGTCCTCCAAACGATGGTTTTCATTTTTCAATTGATGTAAACAATTTAATAAGGATGCAACTGAAAAATAATTAATGTTACATATTTCATATTTCTCAACTTCTATTCCTAGTGAGCTCCAGAGGATTATTAATGCATGTATGTTATACTTATCATCAATGATATCTTTTGGTAATCAGATATTCAAATTTGCAGGAAAATGTAAGCTCCTCTTGGTGTAATCAGTTAGAAATTTGTAGGAATGCATGTGCTTCTTTTCTGATATTTTGGAGGAAATCTTGATAAAAACGAAAACCGGAGAAGAGTTTGAGATTGAAGCTGACTCAGAGCAATGATTTTTCTCAGCTAAATTTTTCATGAAATTATAAAATGACATTTTTACTGAAGACTTGTGTCAATGGCCAAGGAAATGACAGTAAATGAAAGTATCACAGCAGATAAGGTTAGATAACCATTTCTCTAATTTTCATGCTTTTTTTCACATTTCTCGATTGGGGTAAGAAAATATTGCTCATCTCTAGAGAAAAACTTTGTTCTCACCAAATGATTGGTCGGAATTTAATTATGACGTCAAATTTTCTTGTTTTCTTCGGATTTTCCTATTGTGATGTCATGATAAAGGCGGCCATGTCTGATGACGTCAAATATAAAGAACACAACTTTCTGCAAATCTTTGAAAAGGAAGGATAAACTTTGTTTAGATATTGTCTAAATATCATTAGAGAAACAGATTCCACCACTATAATTCGTGTATTACGATATTTCTCCACTCTCAACAGTTAAATTTTTCAGTATTTAAAAAGCTTGGCAAGCTCGCGCTTTAAATATTAAAATTTAACTGTCTCAAGTGGAGAAATATTGTAACTTGATGCAGTGGTGAAATCTATATATTAATATTAAACTATTTTAGCCTTATGAGGTATTCTGATACTTACTATCAAAATGTTGTCCTTGCTGCATTAAAAACTGAGATCCTTGTTCCCATTGTCTTTCCAGTAATTGTTCCATTGTTGATGGGAACTCACTGCAAAATCAAATTTCAACAAATTTTAAATTCATTTAATGTTTTAATTATTACAAATGAAAGAAGGAGTATTTAATGTTTTCATGTATCATCAAAACTCTATATATATAAAATCTAAGTATCGGATGTCCTTCAATACAATATTATTTCTTCTCATTTGTATATATTTTTATCAGTATGGTTTAAATATAAAAGTTAGTTTTGCCAAGCTTTTAAAAGTTTAAAATTGAACTGCTGAATGAGGAATCATATTATAGGAGGTGGAAACTGTTCTCTAATACTTTTTAGATGATGTATAGGCAATCTCCATCTCTTTTTCAATGATCAACGAAAACTTTATTTTTGTCTATGTGACATCGTTGGACATGGTTGGCTTCATTCCAAGTCACAAAAGAGAAATCTAAAGAAAGAATGAAAATTTGACAAGGTACATGTGAGTGAGTTTTAACCAATAAAGAACTGAAATTTAACAAACCAGACATTGATCATGAAAAAATTATCAACTGTTCAGGGAAGTACAAATTGGCTAAGAATTAGATAAATATATATATTTATTCTCCCCACAACTAGTCCACATGTGAATAATTGTTATATATCATGTATATTTACTGAGAAATAAACCTTATTCTGTGAACTGACTGTTGAAAGTATGGGAATAATGGACACACAACATGCATGATTACTACTTATCCTGAAATTTAACCAGTCTACTGAAGCATTAAAATGTGGTCAAAGTTATATGTGATACTGTAAATTCAGAAATTATTGCGTGCATTTATTATTGCGATTTTGTCATTTTAGACTAAAATGCGATTTTAATTTTTGCGACATTGAGAAAAATCCTGTTTAATTCATATAAAAAAATTCAAAATGCGAGTTTAAATTATTGCGATTATAACTCTGTCGCACTTTTCGCAATAATAAAAACATCGCAATAATTTCTGAATTTACAGTAATAAATGGAAAACAGTCAATCATTAAAAGATTACAAATGAAAAAAGTTACATGAAAAGAAAACTAGTTAAAAATTGCTTACATCCACTTCATTTGAAATTTGGTGGATAGTTGTCTCATAAGCAATCATACCACATGTCCTTATTTTTTTAGTTGATACACTTGGGAAAATAACATTCAAAGGAGTAACTACAGTGAATTTCATAAAATAAAAAATAAAATGGAAGTCACATAATATATCGTTTTCTTGTTATAATAATTAAATTGAGGTAAATATAAATTAAAAATCTTTTATAAAATTAAATAATCAGAGTTGCCTCTCTTTCCATAGATTTATAACATAACATGTGCCAAAAGTTGTTGCTTTCTGATTTCTTATCCTTTCAGTGTTTAAGCCTTTCTGTGTCCATGTAGTTTGTAACTGTCATAAATCTGATCAAGCTTTCAAACAGCAAAGATACTGACCTTGTTTGGTTGACTTCTGATGAGGTAGATGAAGCTACAGATGGAAAGACTTTTGGAGGACATGTCAAGTTCAGGTTACTGCTTGGTGCTACCAAAGAAAAATTACAAAGTTATAAATTATTTTTGGAGGACATGTCAAGTTTGGGTTACAGCTTGGTGCTACCAAAGAAAAATTTTGGTCATGTTGACTTATTTGTAGATCTTGTCTTGCTGATCATTATTGCGTTATAAAGCTTCAATCTATCTATTATAGTTTTTATGATATTAGCAAAAATGGAAAAAAAATGGTAAAAATCGTCATTAAAGTGCAATAACTCTAATAAGAAATCTACTGAAGATTTCAACTATGTTGCCTTATTTGTAGATCCTGCCATGCTGATCACTTTTGCTTCAAAAGATTCTATCTATCTATTATAGTTTTTAAGATATTAGGCAATAACGCAAAAATTTGGTATAAATTGTCATTAAAGGGCAATAACTCTAATAAAGAGTTGTCTGACAAATTTGGTCATGATGACTTGTTTGTAGATTTTGTCTTGTTGATCATTGTTGATATTTAAAGTTCCTGTCTATCCATTATAATAATAGATAATAGACATATAAATTTAAAATGGTAAAATTTGTCATTTAAAGGGGCACTAGCTGTCAAATTCATATTCAACGATTTGACCCAAATTCTCATATTAGATTTATAACAATGTAAAGCATTTATCCAAATTATAAAAAGTCTAAAATAAACAATTTACAGCGCATGGGCTCGATGATATGTAGCTTCGTTTCTTGTGTATTTTAGTCTAGACGCCATCTAATCAACTATCGAGATGACCCCGAAAACAACCGACAGTCACATAACACGATATAAACATAAACATAAATATAAATAGATATATGGACCTTGTGCAAATGGATTTTTCTATGTCTGTTTGATTTTAATTTTAAGGTTAAAAAAATAAGTTAAGTTTCGATTTTACCTGTATATGAATGATTTTTTGTGGACCGAATCAGTCAATCAAATGATTTACCTTTGTTTCACTTTCAATGTTGACATTCTTTTCTTTTAATAGCCTAACACGCATCAATCATGCATAATCCATCTCTAGCTAAGGGGTTAAATTGAAGTTCACATGAATACGGATTCAATGAGGTCGAATTATTCACTTGCAAGTGAATAATTCAGCATCTATGTTTCTTAGCTTATTTTGACAAAATTGAACCATAATGGCAGCTAATAGCGAATTATTATTTCACTATTTCACTTTCATTAATGATTGAACAAAAATAATCATAATTTGAATTTTTTATATATCTGGTAGCTAGTGCCCCTTTAAGGACAATAACTCCTATAAGAAGTCCTCTGACAGTTTTGACATACATGAACAATATGTAGAGCTTAACATTCTGAACAATTTTGCCCCCCTGTCAGCTTTTCTCTATTTATAGAGGTTTTTAAAATAATAGTCAAAACTTGCATTTTACCACTATGTTCTATTTTAAGCCATGTCGGCCATCATGGTTAGCAGACCGGGTCATCAGACATATTTTTTAAACAAGATACCCCAATGACGATTGAGACCAAGTTTGGTTAAATTTGGCCTAGCAGTTTCAGAGAAAAAAAATTGTAAATGTTAACAGAGGACGACGGATGACAAGTGATGAGAAAAGCTCACTTGGCCCTGTGAGCCTGGTGAGCTAAAAAAGGGGGATAACAGTGTATTGAAATGACGGATTTAGTATTAAAAGTGGTAAATTTCACTGATGTATCTAGACAAATCTGTTCTGTCTTTACAAAATTTATTCATAAATTAAGATTGATATCACTACAAGAATAAATCTGTGATAAGCTGACACAATAAATCCTTTAAGATACTCAATCATTTTAACTCCAATAAATCAAAAAGAAAACTGCTTTTTTTTTTCTTTGCTTGTCCAATTTTTCATGAAAAAATAAATGTTCAAAAATATTTTCTGATGTGACTATTTTATCTTTTGTATTTTGTGCTGTTCTTTTTAAAGCCTTAATTGAATAAATTCAGGATCTTTTTTGGGGAAAAAAGATCATATCCTTTCACACATATTTATCTTTACTCATTAACTGACTTTTTAGGGAAATAGCAAATCAAAAACCTGATTCTTAATTGAGGTAACATGTATATTTTGCTGTATAGTATTTTCTTTCTATTTTTGTTACCTGTTTTAACAAATGATGACAGTTGTAGTGATCCTGATGTTCCAAGAGTTGGAAATACTGGACTTCCACCAAATACAGAAAAACTAAAATCATAAACATGATTAATTACATTTGAATACAGGAAAAACATGTTTATCATTTTACAATGAGAAGATAAGACATGGTGGAGATAAATAAATGTACAATTTTACATGTAACACTACACTGTGTTCTGTTTATGCAATTAAAATCACACAATGATTCCCAATTACAGTAGAAAAGTTAAAGCTTCTACTGCATGTTTTGTAATGAAGGATCCTATATATATTTAGTCCACAATACATATAAGTAGGATTTATTTCTACTGCATGTTTTGTAATGAAGGATCCTATATATATTTAGTCCACAATACATACAAGTAGGATTTATTTCTACTGCATGTTTTGTAATGAAGGATCCTATATATATTTAGTCCACAGTACAGAAAAGTAGGATTTATTTCTACTAACATGACTAATATGGAAATAATGGTATTGTATATAGCTCGTTTTTGTGTAATTATAACTGACCCATTTGAACTGAAAATGGTATGTAATTCTTTCATATTCATTAGACAAGGAATAAAATTTATATCACTTTTGAAGGATTTCAAAATATTAACATTTGAGAGTTTTTTGGTCAGAAAGTGGCTCTGATTTTTTTTTTTTTAATTTGATATTTTAGATATATAAGAGATAATTGTGTCCAGTCAACTGACAGACCTTAGTTATTGCAATGGGCCTAAACACTAAGTTACAGAGAATGGACACAATTAAATGTCTTGCTTGCTGTAATATAGGAATTGTATTAAAAGGGTCAAACTGAGGTAAACTCATCACTAGTCAATGAATTCTGTCTGGTGCACATGTTCATATTATAAACATTTAACAATATTTTTGACCAATGACAAAATATCCCTGACAGAAGAATAAACTTTATTGGTAGAAGTTGATATACAAACCTTGATGCTTGTGTAGTTTCTGGTTTAGATTTAACTTTATTGGTAGTAGTTGATATACAAACCTTGACGCTTGTGTAGATTCTAGTTTAGATTTATCTTTATTGGTAGTAGTTGATATACAAACCTTGATGCTTGTGTAGTTTCTGGTTTAGATTTAACTTTATTGGTAGTAGTTGATATACAAACCTTGATACTTGTGTAGTTTCTGGTTTAGATTTAACTTTATTTCTAAAAGTTGATACACAAACCTTGATGCTTGTATAGTTTCTGGTTTAGATTTAACTTTATTGCTAAAAGTTGATACACAAACCTTGATGCTTGTGTAGTTTCTGGTTTAGATTTAACTTTATTGCTAAAAGTTGATACACAAACCTTGATGCTTGTGTAGTTTCTGGTTTAGATTTAACTTTATTGCTAGAAGTTGATATACAAACCTTGATGCTTGTGTAGTTTCTGGTTTAGATTTAACTTTATTGGTAGTAGTTGATATACAAACCTTGATACTTGTGTAGTTTCTGGTTTAGATTTAACTTTATTGCTAAAAGTTGATATACAAACCTTGACGCTTGTGTAGATTCTAGTTTAGATTTAACTTTATTGCTAGAAGTTGATATACAAACCTTGATGCTTGTGTAGTTTCTGGTTTAGATTTAACTTTATTGCTAAAAGTTGATATACAAACCTTGATGCTTGTGTAGTTTTTGGTTTAGATTTATCTTTATTGCTAGAAGTTGATATACAAACCTTGATGCTTGTGTAGTTTCTGGTTTAGATTTGTTCTTTTTACAAAGGGGAGGAGAGTTAGCACCTAGTTTTTTCTTTATCACAGCTGGCTTTGTTCTCTTACACTTTTTACTATTCTTATCTAAAGACCTGTAAATAATAAATGTTATACATTTTTTGTAATTAATTGATTAAAAGGTCATTTACAATACAAACTACATATACAAATCAATACAATGTATGAATAAGCTGAATTACTAATGAAAGTGCTAATTTATCAGTGGGAAGTCAAAATAAATATTGCATTGTACAAAGCATTGGTTGTAGTTGATTCAACTACAATTCTGGGCAAAGGAAGATAACTCCAATTTTTAATGATGACTTTAACAAAATTAACAATGACATCAAAATTTATAGAACAGATACAAGATTCCTGCACCCTGCAAAAGTTATGCAATTTTCTTGACAAGTATAACATCATTTTGTGACTTGAATATCTGAGTGTTTATTTATTGATAAATTTCTAGAAATGTTCATCGATGGGATGTATAGAATGTTATGATCAATGCACTATATTTTTAGTATCTCAAAAGTAGTGATAAACCTTGGAAGATTTAGATATCAAGTCAGTACCATAGGGTTTTTATTGCATTTCATGCAATCTTTACCCAAAAATATGTCTAGCATTTAAAACATACAGATATTCTGCCTTAATAAAATAACTTTTTAGAAGATAAGCTGCTTGTGATACAAGATGATTCAGTTAAAAACAACTCAAAATGTTTTACAATAAATTCTGGTGAATGTGGTTGATTTATTCTGAACTATTTCTGTGAATATCTAATAGACATCATATGGCAGAATCATTAACCAGTGTAACAACTGATTACGAAATGTAATCACAATGTTTCATGGTGATAGTCAACAACAGCAACAGGAATTTTCCAGCTTAAAGGTATGTTCACTGATGATCATCAATCACTTGTATTTAGATTAAATTTCAATAATACTATAGCATGTTAAAATATTTCTGAGTATTAAGAAATTATCCAGAGATTTATAAAATCATAAATTGCAAGTATATTGCCAAAAAGGTGCAATAATTTCACTAAAATCATCATTTTACAAATCCTATTCTACAAATTCCATGAAAATGAAAATTTAAAATTTGCATTTTATTGATGATGTTTATTTGCAGTCACTGAATTAAAATTTGAGCATAAATAACCTATCCTGTATACTTTGTCTTAAAATTGATGGGAAGGCAAAAAAACAAAAACAAAACTTGAATGTCATGAATCAAAAGAACCATTCAGTGAAATTTTGTTTTAATTCTTTCTTTCATTCTTATATATTCAAGCATGCATCATCAAGAGCTATGCCAAAATGAATCTTAACACATGTTTATTTGCCAAAGAACCTTATCAGTGGTTGTCTTTTGACATTTTAAGAATTGTGTGCCTCGGAAGGAGGCAGATATTTGAGTGTCTGTTATTTATTTGCGTATTTTTAGGCTGGGATTCATACCTAACTTGTTGTATTGCATTGACACCAACTCTTTTTTTCTTCAAGACTGCATGTTGACATCTAGATGTCTTCCTGTTTTTTATGTTGTTGGGTTGATGTCTCATTAACATAACCCCACACATTGCCTTTTATCATACACATTTGTATAATAGCTAGCCTCTAAGACATGAATTGAAGTTGAAAGTAATTAAAAATACTGTTGATCAATGTTATGTTATGAAAAGGTAGTTTGGTTGCATTTTGAATGTTATTTAGGTTTTCAGGTTGTCCATTCATTATAATAATTATAGACTTAATCTACACTCCAACCAACTTCATAACTTTCTAAAACAACAATTCTTATAATTTGGCTAGCTTTATATCAATTTCAAACTTGGGGTGAAAACATTCTACAACTAAATATAGAGATGAACATCAAGATTATATACTAACCTTGACCTTGGACGCTTAGGTAAACCAGGGTCTAAATCTTCCGTTTCTGTATCTGAATCTTCCTCAGGCGGTGGTTCTGCTTGTTTTGTAGAGGCTAGAAATTTCTCCAGATTTCCAGTAAAAACATTGTTCTGAGGAGGTAGAGCACTATTAGATAAGTCAGGTCCTCCTGACAAGAAATTAGAATCGGCAGAAAAAAGTTTCTCTGTTTTCCCAGAATTAGGAGAACAATTACTAGAATTATCAACAACATTTATTAAATGATCTTCACTATTTCTGTCTCGCCATTCTGCATCGTCCTGAGATGGAGACTCTGTAGGACTTACAGCAGAAGAATCTGTTCCAATACCACTACTTGTATTAGACAAGGGTGGTGTAGTAACTGGCTGTCTAGCTTTCTCATTGTTAGTGGCACTAGGCGATGGAAAATTAGATAAAAATGGACGAACTGTTTGTGTATTAAATTCTGAACCTTTTGCCTCAGCTTTGTTTTGTTTTGGCTGCAAATAAAAAGAGTAAATTATATGATTACCAGGGTTGTATCTGATACTTAATACTATTTATCAAATTTTTCTATGTAACATCTTTTGACAAAAATGACATCAAATCAGTCAGTTATAACTTGCCTTTCGAGATAATAATTATTAAAGTTGCTCCTAATAGCCCAGTGGTTACAGTAGATTTTTGAAAAGTTTAAAATGGACAACAGAAGATGAATGGTAAGTGATCACATATGTGAATAAAGTGCTTTGCTGAGCGCAGCCTGATACGACCGCAGATGTCGAACCTGAACAGTTGGGGCAAGTTTGGACACAATATTCAAGCTTGATACTGTCTGAATTTGGATTGTGATCAAATTTTTGACATAATATAGTTTTCTGACACAAAATAAATGTGGTCAAAGATCTTAATAAAATGCTTCGCTGAGCGCAGCCTGATACGACTGCAAAGGTCGAACCCTGAACAGTTGGGGCAAATTTGGACACAATATTCAAGCTTGATACTGTCTGAATTTGGATTGTGATCAAATCTTTGACATAATATAGGTTTCTGACACAAAATAAATGTGGTCGAAGATCTTATAAATCCATTGCGCAATACTGTGCAATTGAAGATTTCTTCTTGAAACTTTTCAAAAATTCGAAATTTTAAAAACTTTGAAAAAATAATATGAATCCCTTAAAAATCCCCCTCCCCCCCCCCACTTTTTGAAACCCCCTTGAAGCAATAACCCCAAAACTCAATCCCAGCCTTTCCTTTGTAGTATGGAACCTTGTAGTACAATTTCAGAGAGATCCATACACTTACACACAAGTTATTGTCTGGAAACTAGAAAAATGCTTGTTTTTGGCTCTTTTTTTTGCCCCTAATTCCTACATGTTTGGGGCAATTAACCCCAAACTCATTCCCAGCCTTCCCTTTGTTATATGGAACCTTGTGGTACAATGTCAGAGAGATCCATACACTTACACACAAGTTATTGTCTGGAAACTAGAATAAAATGCTCCGCTGGGCGCAGCTTGATACGCCGCAGAGGTTGATCCCTGAACAGTTGGGGCAAGTATGGACACAACATTCAAGCTTGATACAGCACTGAATTTGGATTGTGATTAAATATTTGACACAGCATAGGTTTCTGACACAGAATGAATGTGGTCTAAGAACTTAAAAATTTTTAATTTACCTATTCAAACCATATTATTATTTGCTTTTATAAATAAATCAGAAATAACCAATTTAAAATGGAAAATTTTAAAGAAAAAAAAAATCCCTCCCCCAAATTTTTTGAACCCCCTTATGATTCATCACTCCCAAACTCAATCCCAGCCTTCCCTTTGTGGTATTGTACCTTGCAGTACAATTTCAGAGAGATCCATACACTTGAACACAAGTTATTGTCTGGAAACTAGAAAAATGCTTGTTTTTTGGCCCCAAATTCCTAAACGTTTAGGGCAATTACCCCAAAACTCAAACCCAGCTTTCCCTTTGTGATATGGAACCTTGTAGTACAATTTCATAAAGATCCATACACTTGAACACAAGTTATTGTCTGGAAACTAGAAAAATGCTTGTTTTTTGGCCCCTTTTTGGCCCCAAATTCCTAAATGTTTAGGGCAATTACCCCCAAACACAAACCCAGCTTTCCCTTTGTGATATGGAACCTTGTAGTACAATTTCATAAAGATCCATACACTTACACACAAGTTATTGTCCTGAAACTAGAAAAATGCTTGTTTTTTGCCCCTTTTTGGCCCCTAATTCCTAAAATTTTGAGGCAATTACCCCCAAAATCAATCCCAGCCTTCCCTTTGTGGTATGGTACCTTGCAGTACAATTTCAGAGAGATCCATACACTTGAACACAAGTTATTGTCTGGAAACTAGAAAATTTCTTGTTTTTAGGCCCCTTTTTGGCCTCAAATTCATAAACGTTTAGGGCAATTACCCCCAAACTCAAACCCAGCTTTCCCTTTGTGATATGGAACCTTGTAGTACAATTTCATAAAGATCCATACACTTACACACAAGTTATTGTCCTGAAACTAGAAAAATGCTTGTTTTTTGCCCCTTTTTGGCCCCTAATTCCTAAAATTTTGAGGCAATTACCCCCAAAATCAATCCCAGCCTTCCCTTTGTGGTATGGTACCTTGCAGTACAATTTCAGAGAGATCCATACACTTGAACACAAGTTATTGTCTGGAAACTAGAAAATGCTTGTTTTTAGGCCCCTTTTTGGCCTCAAATTCATAAACGTTTAGGGCAATTACCCCCAAACTCAAACCCAGCTTTCCCTTTGTGATATGGAACCTTGTAGTACAATTTCATAAAGATCCATACACTTACACACAAGTTATTGTCCTGAAACTAGAAAATGCTTGTTTTTTGCCCCTTTTTGGCCCCTAATTCCTAAAATTTTGAGGCAATTACCCCCAAAATCAATCCCAGCCTTCCCTTTGTGGTATGGTACCTTGCAGTACAATTTCAGATAGATCCATAAATTTGAACACAAGTTATTGTCTGGAAACTAGAAAAATGCTTATTTTTGGCCCCTTATTCCTAAACGTTTTGGGCAATTCCCCACAAACTCAATTCCAGCTTTCCCTTTGTGATATGGAACCTTGTAGTACATTTTCAGAAAGATCCATACACTTACACACAAGTTATTATCATGAAACTAGAAAAATGCTTGTTTTTTGCCCCTAATTCCTAAAATTTTGAGGCAATTACCCCCAAAATCAATCCCAGCATTCCCTTTGAGATATGGAACCTTGTGGTACAATGTCAGAGAGATCCATACACTAACACACAAGTTATGTCTGGAAATTACAAAAATGCTTATTTTGGCCCCTTTTTCCTTAACTGTTGGTACCATAACCCCCAAAATCAATCCCAACCTTCCTTTTGTGGTATTAAACCTTACGGTAAAATTTCAAAGAGATCCATTCACTTAAACTAAAGTTAGAGTGCGAAAACCACTGTGTATTCGGACGATGACGACGACGCCAACGTCATACCAATATACGACAAAAACATTTTTAATTTTAGCGGTTGTATAAAAATGCTTGTTTTTGGCCCTTTTTGGGCCCTTAATTCATAAACTGTTGGCCCCATAACCCCTAAAATGAATCCCAACCTTCTACTTGTGGTATTAATATCAGAGCAAACGAAAAACTTATACACAAGTTATTATCCTGAAACTAGAAAAATGCTATTTTTGGGTCCCTAATTCCTAAACGGTTGGGACCATCAACCCCAAAATCAATCCCAACATTCCTTTTGTGGTATTGAACCTTCTTAAAAAATTTCATAGAGATCCATTCACTTAAACTAAAGTTATTGTCCGGAAACCAATGTGTCTTTGGACGACAAAGCAGACGACGACATCATACCATTATACTATCCCCAAAAATTTTTTGCGGTTGTATAAAAATTTGAAAAGAAACTTTTTATTTACCTAGTATGGTCTGGTATCCAAAATCTAACAACATGGTTAGATTCAGCATATAAAAAACACCAAAAATTCAATTTTAGTTGAAATCAAACAAAGTTTCATTTTGGACCCTTTAAACCTTAATATGGACTTATTTGAAAACAGGGCCCAAAATAAAAAAATCTAAATGCACAATAAGATTCAGCATATCATAGAGCCGCAAAAATTCAGTTTTTGATGAAATCAAACAAAGCTCAATTTTGGACTCTTTGGACCTCAATGTAGACCAAATTAAAAATGGGGCCCAATATCCAAAATAGTAATACAAGGTTAGAACTCCCAAAAATGAAATCAATTGAAGATTTCTTACTAATGCGCAATACTGTGCTGTTGCACAATACTTAGTTTATCTGTTATATATAATAATTTACACACCCTGTTTGGTGTGTATCTCCTGCCATATCAGTATTTGTTGCTTTTATATATAAATCAGAAATAATCAATGCAAAAATGAAAATATTTTGGGATAAAAAAAAAAAAATTAATTATGTAAATATAACCCCCCCCCCCAAAAAATTGAAATTTTGAAAAAATAAGAACTCCCAAAAAAGTTTGAACCCCCCCCCCCCCCCCCCCCCCCCCTCAATTTTTTTTGAAATTTTAAAGATTATCTTCTTTTCAGGAAAAATGTACAATTTCAGAGAGTTCCATAAACTTTAACACTAGTTATTGTCTGGAAACTAAAAAAATGCTGTTTTGGGCCCCTTTTTTGCCCCTAATTCCAAAACGTTTGAGGCAAATACCCCCAAACTCAATCCCAGCCTTCCCTTTGTGATTGGATCCTTGTGGTACAATTTCAGAGAGATCCCTACACTTACACACAAGATATTATCCAGAAACCACAAAAATGCTAGTTCTTGGCCCCTAATTCCTAAACTGTTAGTACCATAACCCCCATAATCAATCCCAACATTCCTTTTGTGGTATTGAACCTTCTGATAAAATTTCATAGAGATCCATTCACTTAAACTAAGGTTATTGCCCAGAAACCAAATGTGTCTTCGAACGATGACGACATGATAGCATTAAACGAATGCAAATTTTTTGCGGTCGTATAAAAAAGCCAACACATAATGCAATAAAACTGTTGTTTCATGTTTTTCTGACAAAAATCTTAAGATTGTTGTCTTGTTTGAATCAAACCCATATCCATTCCCCCCCCAACCCCCCCCAAAAAAAAATCTTTTTTCTTATTGAAACTTTGACATATTTTACTTTTAAACTTGTGTTTTTGGTGCATTTTCAAGTAATGATAACTGCATTAAGATCCATTTACTGAGTGAAGAAAAAATTTAGGTAATCTGATCAATCATATTTATTCTACTGGCACAAAAAAAAAATGCTTTGGCATTGTTTTTCTTGTATTTGAAAATCCTTTGTCAGAGCACCTAAAATGACATTTTACCTTCATTTTATCAAAGTTGCTTGGGAAAGTTTTCTCTGGTGTTGAATCAGGTGTTGCATTGTCTGCTGGTATTGGCTTAAATGGAGGAATTATCTTAATATTGGCATCTTTTTTCTAAAAATTAAACAAGAAATTTTTTTAATGTTCCATGTTTTTTGCATGTTACTAAAATGAAAACAAGTGTGAGTTACTGCTCTACCAATGTATTATATTTTGTAATATACACTCACTGACATCCATTGGTCTTTTTTAATAATTTGTTTATATTTACAAGATTAGTTTTTACGTATATGTGTCAGTAAAAAATCAATGCCTGCTAGCCGAATCGTGAAAAATTGATCAATATAGATATATGGAAAGAGATTTAGAGACAATTATCAAAATGAGATGAATGTAAGCAACTATATGTCACTGTACAGCTTTCTACAACAAGAAATACTCATACCATAGTCAGCTATAAAACACCCTGACAATCAAATACCCATACCATAGTCAGCTATAAAAGACCCTGACAATCAAATACCCATACCATAGTCAGCTATAAAAGACCCTGACAATCAAAAATAAAAGAAGCAAAAATCATGATTTTTCATTAATGTGCCGAAAATTAGATTTTCAGACATGACATAAAAAAGACAGTTTTCATGAATTATACAAGTCCACTATGGTCTCTCATTCTGGGAAATTCAGTCAGTCACCAAGGCTGAATATAAACTAATCATTATACACTAATGTACCAAAAATGACCTTATAATCTGCAGGCACTACAAAAAAAAATTTTTGAAAGAGTAATTTTTTTTTACAAAATTTTTAAAATTCAAGGGCCACTAATCTGCCTAGAAGTGGGCCAACCATTCAAAATTCCCATTTCTACATAAAGGCCTTAAAATTATATGTGTGTTTAAGTTTCCTCCCTGAAAATAATAGGGTCAGTAGCCTAGGATTTTTTTTGTCAAATGCGGGGGAAAATATGGTCTTTAATGACTAGGTCACGTCCTCGATTTTACATTAGGTTTTTTCCAGCAGTTCACCATTTGCAAACTTCCAATAAATAGAGTGCCAATGTTTAATATGGTTTAGAACAGTTCTGTCAAGTATTTTGATAGAATATAATAGAAAAGAAAGAATGTGGGGTATCCATCCGTGACTATTACCATTAAGATGGCATTTAAATTACAACAACTGATATGTTGGTGAAAAGTCTTAAAAAAGAAATCCTTGCATAAAATTTTAAATAAGCTGAGAAACCTAATACACACAAATCTTTTAGTCTAAATTTAGTGCATTATATTAAACATCAGTTAAGGACTAATTTAAAATATAACCCACACTCTTAGAGAGGGGTATAATATTAATGATCAGATATGAGTTAACTTACTAATTTTTTGTAATGATAATCACAATAACCACAGTATTTGACATTGTCACCATAGTTACCAGCTTCTTCACACAACAAACCTTGGGCCTGGGCACTGTAAAAATATATAAAAAACATATAGGCAAACAAGATTTTCTTATAAATAATTTCATTTTTATATTGGAAGTTAAAATTTTGTCTTCTTTTTAGACTACACGAAATACGTCGGACCGTCGGACAAATCCGGTGAATAATGGATCGGTCTGGTTAAATTTTGTTGAATTCCGGTCCGAATGTCCAGTGTTGTTTTTTTCGTGGATTTTTTAAAAACCCTACATTTTTCCCAATTTTTGGAGCAAAATTCCCAAACGATCTCAAAATTCATTCTCATCTTTATTATTCATGACAGCGATGTTTATTTTGTTCAACCACTAGCTTTATGCCGAAAATCGCATACAAGTAATGTGTAAATCAGAGTAAAAACATATCTGACTGACAAAAACAACAATGGCTGCCATCAACCGGAAATATAAACAATACCGGATCAGATTCTGGGAACGGATAAGGTCAATTTCCGGGTTTGCCGATCAAATACAATAGAAACATAAAAAAAATCCAAGCAGGTTCACAAAATACAGCTATGAGATATAAACACTAGAATTGAAAACCAAAAGATATATGAAAATGAAAGAAGATACAGGAAATATTTTATACAGAAACTCAAAATTTTTTTTAGTTCACAAATAATTTTCATGTCAAAATCCAATAAAATGTGACATTACTTATCTTTATCACTGAAATGCATTCAGGCAATTGTGCACAACTTTTATCAAAATATACACTCTTGTCACATGATTTTGTTTTTGTGCATTTTGGAGAGGAGTAGGGCACAACAAGTCATAAGATTATTGTATTTTGTCGGATAATATACAATTAGATGTAAAAATAAATTGTTAGCTGAGCGCAGCTGGATACGACCGCAGATGTCCAACCCTGAAAAGTTGGGGCCAAAATGGACACAATATTCACGCTTGATACAGGTCTGAATTTGGATTGTAATTAAATTTTTGACACATAATAGGTTTCTGACACAGAATAACTGTAGTCAAAGAACTTCAAATTGGTTATATGATTTGAATTTATATTCAATTTTTTGCTTTTGTGCAATACACTATATGAATTGACCCCCCCCCCCCCAAATAAAAAAACAACATTTTACCCCGTTTTTTTGCGTTTGTGCAATACACTATGCTGTTGAATATTAACCCCCCAAAAAAAATATTAGAAGAAATTTTCTTTTAATTTCTGAAATCTAAAAGGAGAAATATTGTCCCTCTCCAATTTTTTTCACCTCCCCCTTTCCCTTCTTCAAAAAAATAATTCTTTCCCTCAAGTTATGGTCAGTATCTCAGACAATCATCATTTCTTAATACATAATTTACAAGCAGTGTAAGGGAGGTAATCAAACATTGTTATTTGAATTGATTTGGATTACCTCCCTTACACTGCTTTTAGATTGTCTCAATTGTCCTTTAACCAGAAAAACCTGTTTCCCCCCTTTTTTTGCCCCTAATTCCTAAATGGTTTGAGCCATAACCCCCAAAGTCAATCCTAACCATCCCTTTGTAGTATGGAAACTTGTGGTATAATTTCAGAGAGATTTATACACTTTAGCACAAGTTATTGTCTGGAAACTACAAAAATGCTTATTTGGGCCCCTCATTCCTAAACAGTTGGGACCATAACCTCTAAAATCAATCCCAACCTTCCTTTAGTTGTTATAAACCTTGTGTTAAAATTTTATTGATTTCTATTTATTTATACTAAAGTTATTATACGGACACCATCTGTCTTCGAACGACGCTGACAACGTGATACCAATATAAACCAAAAAATTTTTAATTTTTGCGGTTGTATAAAAATTGGTCTTGTAAAATTTCATTCGGTCTGGTCTAGGTTGTTTACCAGACCGAATGTCCTGTAAAAATAAAATTCATTCGTGTAGTCTGCTTTTTAACATAATTATTGTTATAAATGCAATTTCAGTTATTCTTTCAAATATCTAACGCACATTTAAACAAAGGGATTGAACAAAAGGCAAAGCCTATACCATCTGTTCCCATACGCAATAGATTGAATAATCTGAAAAAAAATATTTCTGATAATTCATAGATAATTCATTATTGCAGTGAGTCAGGGGAGGCAACCCACCAGCTTCTTGAAATATTTTATTGGGTACGCATATATAATCGATTCTCGTTATCTTGAAGTCAGCTGGACCAAAGAAATATTTTGATACACCCCAGAGCTCCAGATAAGCTGCGTATTTGCGTGATTACGCAATAAAAATAATTAAAAACCCAATGCAATTGCCCATTGCAGGGTTCAATAACCCAATTAATTCAAAGGAAAACCCAATTATATGCCAAAAACATGGGTTCTTAACGCTTTTATTCGATATCGTTTGCGTTATTTACCCTTACTTGATTACAGTCGTCGCGTAAATCTATTTTTATAATATTTATAATTGGAAATGTCCTTTCGTTCTAAAAATAGAGCCCTGCATAAAGTAGCTGTAATGGGTCCCTGTTGGAATTTTCCGTTGCTCAAAAGGTACACGTGTTTATGAAAAAATTTCGATCTTTTCAGCGTTTATCCAATTAGCGTGTGACATGCTGTCATATTTTTTCGAATTGCTCGGGATTTATCATAACATACAATGAATTAAAATGAAAGTAAATGTCCGGTAAAAATATTGAATAGAAGCATGTTTTCGGCTTCTTTTTGATAGCTGAGGGAAAGTTATGATGATAACAAGACTCAGCTAGTGATTTTAGTAAGCGGCCATTGAACGCATGGGCGTGTTTGCGTACCATAACGAGAACATTGCTAGAGCGATAAACACAGGGTTCCGTCAAAAACGAAATCAGTTGGAAAAAGTGAAAGGCCAAATCAAGGATTTGTATAGTGGACTATACAAATCCTTGGCCAAATCAATTATGACATGATATGTAGTTTGAAAGCATCGGAAACCAAAAGATCTGATAAGGGACAACTTAACCCAGATTTATGTAAATCGAAAACAGTTTATATATTATTTTTTTCATTTTAGTTGATGAGTGAATACACATATCCGTTTTTTACGTCAATGCAGCTTGACACTTTCTTTGTTTTTGGTCTAATTGTTCTAGATGCTTAAGATAGTTGTCTTATTGGCAAGTGCAGTATAACATTGTCATTTATTTACTTGATGTTGCAGAATTATTTGTAAATTTAAGGTTTTGGGGGTATATCTTAAATCTGGAAACTACTTTTTATTTTTATGAAAAAGTAGATCTGGCAAATAGGTGAAAGGACTGGCAAAACTTTCTTACAGCACCTAAATTTCACATATATTACACAAAAATCTAAACACTTAGCCACACCTACCCCAACTATAATTAAACTAGGGTGATCATATGGGATCTAGAAAGGCAATTAGTTCCTGTCCAACTAGTGACACCAGCTGCAGTTTACATAAGTTTTGAGAAAATACCAAACTGACAGAACGTTAAAAACGGGACACAAATTAAATGTACAATTGCTCGTCAGTGAATAAACCAAATAAAACAGCTAGCACATATTCTACAAAGAAAGAAACACATTTAAGATGGAAACACATCTGGGGTTGATATAATGTGATTATAACATGCCTAAATATTCAATATTGTGTTGATGAAAAAACCCTATACATTAAGGAGCTTGGTGGTGAAAAACCCAATTTGATATTAGCGTGAGGGGTGAATTGGAATTGATAATGCAATTAAAAAACTTTATCACCCAATTACATAAAAAAATGGTGGGTAAAAACCCCAATTTGTGAATTCTTATCTGGAGCTCTGCACCCCTAGTTATACTCAAAACGAAAACCTCAAGTATGAAAGACCAAGGGACACAATTCTTGCTTAGCTTGGTAAAGATAAAATAAATTCGGATGAATATGGGTAGGGGATCAATATTTTGGTCGCAGATCGATCGATATGTACGTTGTGGTCTTTTATTTTTCCCTGTGTTTTTTAGCTAAGAGAGTAATTTCCAATTGATCTTAGCTTTATATAAAGTTGACAAAATTTTTCATTCTCCTATACAAGAGATTTTAAATTTAAATTACTGCAAGGTACAAACCAAGTAACATGGAAATATTGTTTACATCCATTTTTATTACACTGCATACAGGCTCCAGTTGATGCTTTGCTTGCTCTGTCCTTCTCTTCACATACATAGCAAATCTTTAAATATCAATATAAAGTAATTATTCTTCTACATGCTCTAGGGTATCCTGTTCAAACTGTACCCATTATACTTATAGTCATAACTTATTATGAATTAGCATGATTAGTCAGATATCATTCATGTTTATCAATTTTATGTATAAATAGTACCAGATCCATCTATGTTTAGTGTTACTTCAGTTTTACAGCTTCTGTGTGTGTGTCACTGTCAGAAAATTTTCAGTATCAAATGGATACATATGTACACATGTATTCCACAGCAATGTCATGAATGTGACCTAGTTTTTTTAAAGAAAAAAAGGTTGGTCTTGGATAAAGGTTTTTTTTTTAATTGTAATCGTCTTGGAAATAGCTTTCAGTAACTGCCAATACTCTTAGATCTGTACTGTGTGTCTTCAGTGATTCTGTTAGTTGTTTGTTTTGCTTTGTATATTGATCTGATGAGTCAAACCCTTTTTAACTGATTTTTATGGTTTGTTCTTATGTTGTGCTGTGGTGGATAGTTGTCTCATTGGCAATCATACCACTGCTCCTTATCTTATATTGAAGGCAGGTTTGAAGTATAGGTAAGACAATACTAGGTCATGTTTTAAGAACAGGGCTCACGCTAGCAGGTTACTGGGGCGATAAAGTCGCTTTCCCATCCGTAACGCCGCTTTGCCAGACCGTCAAAAGCGAAATCTAGTCGCCCTGTTGTTCATCATACTCGCTTTTGTCATCAGCAATTTTCCATTTTGACCAAATCGATGAAACATTTTTTTTTATTACTTCCAGTACTTGTTACTCAATAGTGTACATCAAATCATTCCAACTTTCGGCAAAATAAGTTTGTAACTTCATTAGAACATGATGAAAGTTGCCTTTAGTAAATGTTGAATCCATTTATTGCATTAAAACGTCATATTCCTTTCCAAATAGCTTGTCAAACATCGTTTATTTTTGTAAATTTTCTTCATCCACCACTGAAATATTTTACGAACTACGGATCGGAGGCGGGATTCATCGGAAACAGACCAGCTATGACCGAAATCTGTATCATTACGATAACAACTACGGACGCATGAATGGCACAGCTGACAGAACATTGATCCCAAAGGGAATAAAATGGGCGCAGCTTGATATGACCGCAGAGGTCGAACCCTGAATAGTTACACACAAGTTATTGTCCTGTCACTAGAAAAATGCTTGTTTTTTGCCCCTTTTTGACCCTAATTCCTAAAATTTTGTGGCAATTACCCCCAAAATCAATCCCAGCCTTCCCTTTGTGGTATGGTACCTTGCAGTACAATTTCAGAGAGATCCATACACTTGAACACAAGTTATTGTCTGGAAACTAGAAAAATGCTTATTTTTGGCCCCTTATTCCTTAACGTTTTGGGCAATTACCCCCAAACTCAATTCCAGCTTTCCCTTTGTGATATGGAACCTTGTATTACAATTTCAGAAAGATCCATACACTTACACACAAGTTTTTGTCATGAAACTAGAAAAATGCTTGTTTTTTGCCCCTTATTCCTAAAATTACCCCCAAAATCAATCCCAGCATTCCCTTTGTGATATGGAACCTTGTGGAACAATGTCAGAGAGATCCATACACTAACACACAAGTTATATCTGGAAGTTACAAAAATGCTTATTTTTGGCCCCTAATTCCTTAACTGTTGGTACCATAACCCCAAAAATCAATCCCAACCTTCCTTTTGTGGTATTGAACCTTACGGTAAAATTTCATAGAGATCCATTCACTTAAACTAAAGTTAGAGTGCGAAAACCGATGTGTCTTCGGATGACGACGCCAACGTCATACCAATATTCGACTGCAAATTTTTTTTGCAGTTGTGTAAAAATTACGCATTCCACACGCATTAACAGACTTTTGACTAGATCTACCCAATTAATGTATATATTTCCATGTATATGCATTTATTGATTAAAGTTGCTTCACTCTGGGACTTTTACACTAATATCAATATGTAGTGTCCCAGCTTAACTTTGTTAAATTAATATATCTTTTTAATGAGAAACACTGAATTTCATAATCATGATTTAATTGAATTTTAATTCATATACTAGACTTTCATTTCATTTTTTATATAAAAAAAAATCTTTTTAGTGCTAGATATTTAGTTGGAGGACTTATATAATTGTGCAACTAGATGTGATAAACTTAAACCACTTTTAATTTGAACTGTTACTTTAATTGTATACTCAGATATGAATTGAATATAGTAAAAACCAAACATTGTAGCGCCTCGAACAAGCGAACACTTCTCCTTCAAATCTCACCACTTCTCCCTATCAGTTTCAAAAAGAGAAGTCACTTCTCCCTATGATTCTGAAGTAGAGCCCTGATAAATATTTAAAGCAAAGTGATAACTATTCAACAGATAAGTAGGGTTTAAAGCCATCCATGAAAACCACGAAAATTGGTACCCCACGAATAAAAGTACCCTCACAGTATTTGCTTATCCACATATACCTGTACACTTGTATGTGTGGTGCAATTCATTTAGGCACAATCAATCAAAAAATTCCTACCTTGTTAAATCTTTCTTGAGGCAGATTTTTCAGTACTATTGGTTCCATTGTTTGTACATTAGCAAACCATGCTTCTGGTATGAACAAAGCACAGACAACATGACACCATCCTGAAACATGAAAATCAGAAAATTAAAAAACATCACTAAGCACAGCTCTAGTTCCTAGTCAATGATATAACAATTATAACTAAATGTCAATTAATTCTTTTTATTTCTACTAGTAACAACATGGCTACAAACATAACTAAGATAACCATGAGACAACAACATGGCTACAAATATAAATAAGATAACCATCAGACAACAGTAGGGCTACAAACATAAATAGGGTAACCTAGAGACAACAGCATGGCCACAAACTAAACTAGGATTACAAAGAGACAACAGCATGGCTACAAACATTTATAGGATAACCTAGAGACAACAGCATGGCTACAAACATAGCTAGGATAACCAGGAGACAACAGCATGGCTTCAAACAGAACTAACATAACCAGGAGACAACAACATGACTACAAACATATATAGGATAATCATGAGAAAACAGCATGGCTATAAACATAACTAGGATAACCATGAGAAAACAACATGGCTCCAAACATAGCTAGGATAACCAGGAGACAACAGCATGGCTACAAACATAGCTAGAATAACCAGGAGATAACAGCATGGCTTCAAACATAACTAACATAACCAGGAGACAACAACATGACTACGAACATATATAGGATAACCATGAGAAAACAACATGGCTTCAAAAATAACTAAGATAGCCATGAGACAACAGCAGGACTACAAACATTACTGTGATAATAATTAATGAGATAACAACATGGCTACTATGATTATTAGGATAACAGCATGGTTACAAAATTTACTGTGATCAACAATGGAAATAGCATATGAACACCATATTGTACAGAAAATAACATACCTCCAGAATCTGTTCTTTTCAAGGCACCATCTTTTTGTTGACATAATTCACATTTCTGCAAAGAAACAGCAGAGGCTCAGGCGGACTGCATATAGTTTTTTTTTTTTACCTTAATGGCTACTGAAATGTTCTATTACAAAAGTATTCCTTCACTTTAGTTTTCTAAATTTTGAAAATTCAATGGGAAACTGCTAAGATCATTTGCCACAGTAGTGGTACACAAGATGGAGGAAACAATAGCAACAGGATAGGGGAAACATGCCAAATGGTTAATAGTTTCCCAAATGAGAAACATTTTTCTAGTGTTACTTAAATTTGTTCCATTTGAATAAAAAAGATTCAGCTAAAAAATATAATTTTTAGCACTTTCAAATTATAACTCAATTAAGGGATGGTTACTCATTTTAGGATCTGGAATATAGTTCCCCTAGCCTGTGATCCTGGCCCTACCTCATCTTTGAATCAGTAAGGCCAGTTGTGGAAGAATCCATGTGACCAACTTTCAGCACTGAACAGGACAAAATTACTGTGCATGTACATATTATATAAACAATGTATGATCAGATTCTAAATCAATAACATTAACGGTACCTTTTTTGGGGTTGTAGTAACAATGTACCTGTTAGTCCTTCTGTAAATCCCTCCTCTATCAGGAGAACCTTGAATTCTTCCAGTAGTTATTTTATAAGATACACTGTAGTACACTATTCAACAAGTCTGTTTTCTTCCACCTCAATACCACTATTATTTTTGGTTAATTAGTTAAAAATTCAAATTTAGTTTATAGTAAGTTTAATGTAGTAAGAAAACCAGGACGGGCTAAAACAGAAAGACTTTGAAAGCAGAGAAAACTGTGCACCTTACAATCAGCATGACTTTATCAGAAGACAATACAGTTATCAAAAATCAAGGCTAAAAATAAAGCATAGGTACTTTAATTCAGTCACAGACCTGCGATGTTGCAGTGTGTTCTAGTATCATTTTATTCTGCCTAGACAGAGTTACATGTTCCATTAATTGAATGACTTGCAATAGATCAAAAATAACTTTGGCATACTCAAGTGTAATAAAGTTATTTGCTCTCATGAATCGAATTCAATAATAACGAGAGAATATCAACAAATTGTACCATTTCCACATTATATGAGAATTTTATTTAAAATTATATAATTTTGATGTTGCACTCCTCTCTTAAGAGGTCAATCCTGATTTTTACGTAAAAAATTTGTTGATCTACACTTTAAACCCATATTTTCTACTGTTCTGATGTTTCATTTCATGATAGTTTATACATGAAAAGATTTTATCATCTATTTACTTATTGTCAACTAAAATGAATCAACAAATATAAGATTTATAGTTATAAGTATGAAATTGGCAGTTATGAAACTGAATTATTACCCGGTCTGTAGATTGACCGACACAGTGTTAAGTTATTGTATCAAATTTGACCTAGCTCTACTGGCAAGCTTTGAGCACAGATAGCAGGCTTTAGTTTAGATTCCCATTTTGGCAGATTGTCTCCAACCTGATGGTAAAATTGTATCCTGAGGCAGTTGCAAGTATCAGTGAAAGATACTGCCATGGTCACTCAAAAGGATATGGACCTTTTCACTTTTATTTCATAAGGTGCTGCTGCTCCTGACACATTTAAAGTTTCAGTCTATTTCAGTACACAACAGTCAACACATTTACTTTCCATCAAAACAAAACAACGTGCTTCCGGTAATAAAAAAAATGGCGGACTTACCACTCTAGCGGCCCTTTCTTGAGATTCGCATTTTCTGCAAAACCATGGCCCTGTTGGCACCTGCACAATACCATAGCATGCTGTAAAAGATAAAAATAGCATATTTTCTTAACACACAAGTTCGCAAATAACCAATCATTCCCGATCGACTGCTATGAAACTGAATATTTGGCAACTAAACAATAACAAATGACAAACCTTGATGGACTGCAACATTGCAACCATGTCCATCGCAATAAACAAGGGGGTTTTCGGCCCATCCTCTTTCATCGGAACATACACAACATCCGCCGACCATTTCCTTCATGCTGATCGGCATAAATATACTTGAATTTTAAGGATCAAGCATGAAGACGTGTTGGTCTTCATTTTTTCTCCTTTAAGGTTTCCGGTCTCACGAAGGTCGTTGCACACGCGCGCTTAAAATAAAATTATAGTGCATGTTGGGATTTGTTTACATTTTACATAAATAGGGAGAAAACTAGAGGCTCCATGGGTAAGATAACTCTGTGACTATTATAATAGTTCCAGATAAATACAACATAAACTTAAAGAATTTATTTTGACCGAATACAAAATATATGTAAAATACAATACAAGACAATCATATTATTTTTGGTACATTTTTGTGTTCACACTTTGCCCAAGGATTTTAATGGTGACTGTGAATATATTTAATAAAAATCCATGCTTAGCCGAAATGCTTTGTACTGAAAACTTTTTTCAGTATACGGTTGTGGAGGACAGTATACTTTTTTTTGTTTTTGTTTTGTTTCATTATACAAATATTGACTTATCACACAATTAAATTCAAATTAAGTTATATTTTAAGTAGCGGCCAGTCAAAACAGCAAACATGTAAGGTTAAGGAATTCTAAGGTTCTAGAATTATCGTAATTAAACGATTCCACGCGCTCGTCTGTCTTTTTATATTTATGTTTATATCAGGTCATATGACCATCGTCATTCTTCAACAGGTTATCTCGATGTTTATATATTAGACTGTTAGATGGAGTCTAACATGAAATACACACGAAACTGCTGGTACATTATAACGGCGACGTCGACTCTATGCATTGTTAATTGTTTCTTTCAGATTTCTGGTAATTTGTATATACATGAGTATTTAATAAATCAAATATGAGAACTTGAGTCAAATCGGTGGACAAGGATTTGACAGCTGTTGCCCCTTTAACAACCAAAATGCACTAGATTTACCAAAACCCTCATGCGAAACTATAACGTCACCGGTACCCAAATTGCACCGAGTACCCAAATTGCACCTATTTAGCAAAAATAGCAGCGGAAATCTTACAAGTTTTCCTATAGACTAAACAGTTTGTATTTTTGAGATTTGACACTATGCACGTCTTTCAACATATATAGATAAATATATTTGAATATACACAAAACGTTCACAGTATATAGCAACAGATGAAGTGTTCACTGGAAAAAGTAAAATGTACGGAAACGTCGCCATGCGACGTCCACAAAAAGTCATCTTTTAAAAATTAGCAAACAAATTATGTTACAAGCATTCATTTCATAAAAAATGAACAGTAAGCATGGACTAATGTCAAATTGTTCTAAATATTTTAAGAAATAAAACAAAAGATCTGTTATTCGACTTTGAAGGATGTGAATTTAAGCATGGATGCAATTTGGGTACTCCTCATTACAGAATCATGGATCGTTTGAAGGTTCGTTCAAACCCATTTTTCTATGATTCATTATGGATTCAAAATTGAATTGGTGGAGCCATATAGTAAATAATGATACATCTACAAAATAAACACAGAATGGAAACTTTTGTCTGGTTCATAAAAAAACGTAGGTGAAAAAACTGTCAAAATAGGTGCAATTTGGGTATCCTCACGTTATACATTTTACATTTAGACAGGGATTTTCCATAAAAGCCTTACCAAAACAGACTTGGATTATCCGCCAAAAAATTGGCATAGAAATATAAATAGAAAAATACATTTCATTTGCAACAGTTTGTGAGCATTGAAGGTAAAGTACCGTCATTCAGAAATATTACCCCAATACACACCGCTTCTTAGGGGAAGGCCCTTTAGTCAAATTTTCTTGCTAATTTACGTTCGCGTGTGGTCTAGGGCGCTGTACAGAGTGCAGGTGGTGTTGCCATAATGTCTCAGATGCAGGGTCTAATCCCAGTGGCGGATTTAGAGGGTTCTTCAGGGGGCCCGGCCCCCCTTTTTTTGGAAAATATTTGGTAGATTATATAGGGAATCACTGAAGCATGACTGGAACGGGCCCCCTCTTAGGCAGTCAGTGGGCCCCCTTATAAAAATTTCTGGATCCGCCACTGAATCCCGCTTGCAGATCTAACATTTTTGGGCTAAATTTGAGACGAAGTATATATATATATAAACTATGATGTTAGCCCTGTATAACCACAGGTTATCCGATGGAGAACGTCTGCCGCAAAGTTGTTACATATTTAGATGTATGTAATATATACTAGTATTTAGACTTGATTTGACCCTTGGTAAGTAAATTCATCATCCTTAACAACAGGCAAAAAACAGCTGATCTGCAAGGTATACCATCTACTTGCCACTATATATATATACATCATGTATATATATTTATGTGTTTTAATTGTTTTGATAAATATTCTTTAATATTTTGATTTATTTTGATTTATTTAATGTGTTTTTGATACCATTTTACATTAATAGTAGCTTATATATGATGCCCCTTTGTTCGTTTTTAATGATATAAAATTTTTTAAGGTGCAATTCGGATTAATTTTTCAGTAAAAATCTGTTGTATAGTCTCAATATGTATAGAGCAAAAAAAAAAGCGTCAAATCGAATGAATAAGCGTTACGTCGTGAAACGTTTAATTGCAATATCGTAGTAGTTTTTTTAATGTTTTTTATGTAGCTTTCAGATCAATAAAATATAAAACAGAAATGTTCACAGGCAATTACATATCATTAGTAAACAAAATTCTATGGACGAAATTTCGTAACATTGAAATTTAAAGTGAACACAATTCCTTTTAAGTTTATGACACCTTCAGTTAATTTTAAATTCTATAATATACTGATCCTCGATCAGTTACCCTCAGCAATTCTCAATTTATTTAAAACATTTTTTAGATGCTGTCTGTCGTATTCGTTTATTGCTTTGTTATAAACCAGGCCGTTGGTTTTCTCGTTAATGTTTGGATGGTTGTTTCATTGGCAATTATTCAATTTTATATTGAACAAAAGGCCTTTTGAAAATAGTCTTTTAACATAACAAGGGTTCCTTAAAATTCGTGAAAGCACCATGCATAGCCTAAGTCTGTCAATTATCTTATTCATCATGAAAAAGAGGGTCACTAATGTGTCGATTTTGACATGCTATTTTATGGATATGAATACTAGTTACCACCACCTTTGAGTCTACATATTGAATTGTAGAACACACAACAAGTAAAGAAGATGATCACTTTTTGGTGAACCAAACATATCGTTAATCTGTCCACCGGTAAATTCTTAATTAAATTCTTCCATCTCAAATCTGAAAAGATAAAAACAATTTATGTCACTTGAAATCAACAATATATACCGTCTTGTGTCCTATTGTTCAGGACATAAAGTTTAATTTGGAAATTTGTATATGTCTATTTTCATTCTTTAGTGAATATATGTATCCTAAAATACTTTTATATATTAACTTTTCTAAAAATGTAAAGTATTCTAACATCGGAAGCGTCACAAAGCGATGACGTCATGTCCCAAGTCGCCCCTGTGTAACTTCCCAAGACACGTTAAAACAGAGGTGCGAGACGAGATTTTTAAATGTATAATTTATGTATATAATGAATACACTATAACAAGGTCAACAACTTGCCTTTTTAGCATTTTCATAAACGGATGGTTGGTTTGACCTGACATTTACACTGTTCGAAAGATGTACATATTTGGTTTTTTTTTTAATTTAGGCAAAGAAATAAAAAAAAAATCTGTTTCACGAGTATTGCAGAAAATTTCCTAAACGGCCGAAGTTGGACACTTGCTGGAACACAGACGCTTTATCTGACTGGAAACATTTCTGCATGGTATACTGAATTATACCTCATAGCCGGTTTAAACATGTAAATTACATAAAATTAGCCTACCTTCACAGCGTTTCTTTTTCCTTATTATAGTTTGATCATTTCCATTAATTTCACTCCCCCCATAAATATATGCAACCAGAAAAGCTTAATTGACAAGTCATAGCTATTTTCTAAATAGTGGCTTCTTCTTCAAAATATTGCCCACATTCAACATAATGAATATTCTGGCAAGTTGCACATTATTAAAAACTGGTTAAAAACAAATTGTTGAATTGATTAGTTAGAGGTGTTGGTCACTTGAGACTTGAATATCTCAAGAGAATTTGCTGTGGCGATATCTGAAGGCATTTTGTTTCGATCCTTGATGGTGTTTACGAAGAAGGACCATTTCTACAATCTTGGTAGTTGGCTGTAATAAGTAACTATGACGGCCTTTCCAACTGGAGCTTCTTGTTGGTTTTTATAGGTATTTACTCTTGTCTATGGCTACAAGGTCATTTGTTATTTTGTAACACATGATGAGTCGAGGTTCTTTTCGTCTTGTTTATTTATAAGCTTTTCCTTCCTAACTCATTTATCATATTGATGATCTCTTTCTATGTCTGTTGGTTACATATCGTGCAGCTCGTCTTTGTACTTTTTCGATTTTATCTTTGTGGTTTTGATGGTCGTGGGGTATTCCATTTGTGGTCTTACTAATATTTTATATGCATGTGGAGTTGTCGATGCAAGAAACCAAGGCTTCGGCTGGCTGTACCTGTGATGTTGTTTATGTGTTCTCCGCAATCCAGATCATTTCACATGGTACAGCCCAGGTATTAAGTCGATGTTTCATGCACTAGAGTATGGCAGTGAAGTTTGTAGTCCAACTTGATTGGATTTTTCTTTTTTGTGACTGTGAGGACGGTGTATTTTTCATGGCGGAACTCCATTTTCTAAAGTTTTCCCCATTTTTCCAGTTTGTCGAGGTCTTCTTGGAGTTTATGGCAGTCGTTGTCTGAGGAGATGGTAAAATAAACAACAGTGTCGTCCGCAAACAGTCTCATTGTTGATTGTTGGCCTTCTGGTAGTCGTTAATATAAGAAACCGAGACTGATCCTTGTGATACTCCAGATTCTACTTTCACTTTGTCTGATGTTTCACCTTCAGTCACTACTGTCACTGCTTGTGTTCTGTTCGTGAGAAATTCATTTATCCATTTGTTTGTTTTACTTCTGATGTCATAATGGTGTAGTTTATGTAGGAGTAGACTGTGGGACACCTTGTCTAAAACTCTTGAAAAGTACGTATTTGCAGGTCTGATTGCTTTCCGTTTTCCAGATTTTTTGTGATATCGTGATATCGTGGATACATTCAATGAATTGTGTTTCGCATGATCTTTTACTCCTGAAGCCATGTTGTAGAGGGTATAGGATGTTATTTACCTCTGCATGTTTAATGATTTTACTGGTGACTATATGTTCTATTATTTTGCAACAGATACATGTTAGGTATATTGGCCTATAGTTAGCTGGTATGTATTTCTGGCCTTTTTTTATATGCAGGAGTCACATTAGCTGTTTGCCAGTCATCGGGTATCTTTCCTTTCTCCATTGAAAAATTGAAAATGATGGTGAGGATCGTAGCATTTTCACTGGCTAGGTCTTTCAGTATCATTGGTTTGACGTTGTCTGGTTTTACAGCCTTGTGTGGGTTAAGATTTTTTCATTTGTTTTTCCACTCCGTTATTAGTGATGATTATTTGTTATCTATAAAATTGAGAATGGAAATGGGGAATGTGTCAAAGAGACAACAACCCGACCATAGAGCAGACAACAGCCGAAGGCCACCAATGGGTCTTCAATGCAGCGAGAAACTCCCGCACCCGGAGGCGTCCTTCAGCTGGCCCCTAACTGTTTGGATTGTTTTCTGGTAGATCTGTCATGAGTTTTTTTCTGTCAAAAATCTCTTTTACTGATAGGACATGCAGCGGAGAAGACCTTTTGAAATTGGCCATTTAGTGTATTTGCTTTGTTTATTGCACCAGTTTCTAATTTCGAATCCCCATAAGTGTTGCTACTCCGTTTTTATCACTTTTCTCGTGATTGATTTATAGGTCCATAATCTTTGTTGATGAACGGATGTCCTCATTATCTTCTGGAGTTAGTATGTCTTCTATATATTTCTAATAGTCTTGTCTTGATTTTCTTTGGATGGTTTGTTTATAGTGTTTAAATCTTTTAATATCAGTAGCATCAGTGGTTTGATTTCTTTTTCTTTTTATAGGCTCGATCTCGTCGCCTCGTAAGATTACAGCTTTGAATTGGATATAGTAATATTTTTTTTTTCTACTTCGGAAGAGCTTATATCGTCTCAAAGCTGATGCTATAAATTGTCTCTTTATGAGGGTCTGGATGGGGTCCTACATTATTTCTGTATTCTTTAATTTTATAGGTCATTTTTCTGTATTCTTAAATTTTATAGGTCATTTTTCTATATTCTTAAATTTTATAGGTCATTTTTCTGTATTCTTTATATTTTCTGCCCATTATTCTCTATTGTTTATATTTTAGCACCCCATAATTCTCAGTCTATTCTTTATTTTTTTACCCATTTTTCTCTGTTCTTTATTTATTTTTTTTTGCCATTTATTCTGCACCTTTTGCCCATTTTTCTCTATTCTGTAAACCCCGGCCATCAGGCCAGACCTTCATTTATATATTGTAGTATTATCCAGTCTGACGTCACGACGAATGACAATTTTGCGTCCATTGCGTCGCAAAACTGATAGCATTTCATCTTTGCCAATTGCTAAATTATAGTAGCTGAAATCTTGTAATTGGACAAATGACAGTTTTTCTCAAATCTTGAAATTAGAAAACTAGTAGCTTTTCTAAAAAGCTTGAGTTATCATTTACTGAATAGATTATCGTGTCAAATCTGATTAAAATAGATAGAATTTTTTTGATATTTTGGTATTGTTATTTCAACCATTTAGAATATTCACTGTTACATATCAAAATTGTATTTTTGTTACAAACTAGGACAGAAAAATGGCTAGTACACAGCCCTGGTGAGATTTTACGGTTTCAAATATTTTTAAGGTAATGTATTACATAAATCTTTGAAAGGAGGTAATTTCTAAATCACCGGCACGTTTACCCTTTTCCTTTTTTTTTAAGATTTGGTACCCATACCTTGTAATAACGTTCTGCAGTCACATTAAATAAAATGCTAAAAGTCAGACAAGTTTTCAAAAAGCTAGTAGTTGTTTTTGGTAGTCCACGTGTTCGAACTTGGCATAAGTCGATTGGCTAATCCGGCACACACAAAATATTCGTGAGCGCAAATCCAAAGTTCAGTTATTCGAGCATTTTCAATATGATGACTTGAAAATATTCTATAAACTTAATTTTAATAGGAAAAAATCGATGCTTTTTTGTTTTAGTAATTTTTAAAATATAAATATCTACACTTTATAGCACTATTTATTGCGTCACCTTTTCCTGTTAACGCACCGGTGAAGTTGTTAGGCACACCAAAATAGTGGTCTGCAAAAAGATGAAACTCCCGGGATCTCTAGTATTTTTGGCAATTTCCGTGGCAATTTTGAAATGCACAATTTGCAACGACGAGGTTGCAAAAGATGAAGGTATTGTTGTTTTACTTAAAATACTTTTTAGATACGAATTTCAAGGGTAACTGGGGAATAATATGGTCACTCGTGCCGTCGTGGTCTTCTTCCAACCACCAGTAAAACCTTTGCTAAAGTGGGGCGTCCGTTTGGCTGTGCGGGATGTACAAGTACACAGCCACGTCCGGTCACATTTGGGAAGTTACATGTAAATCCGAGGCCTCGTGTAGAGAGAGAGAGAGTGCCACGCTCTTTTCATGTTAAGAACCCATGCAACAACTCTTTCCCTCATTTTCCAGTGGCAGTCTAAATTTTCCCTGACCGTCAACCTAGACGGCCGATATTACAGGACCTACATATTGTATTTATTGATAATTTGTTCTCGTCCTGAACATGCATGAAATATTTGCCACTGGACATTAAGTAAACAACAACCAATCAATCAAGTGTGACAAGCCAACGTTTGGAGTGATACATTTTGTACTTGTAAAAAGTCTATGCATTTATAATATATATGAAGCTCCATAAAGCAGAGTGGGGCAGGCCCCCTGGCCCCCTAATATAAAAATAAGGACATTTGGCATGATTGCCAATGAGACAGTTATCCACTAAAGTTCAAATGAAGGGGATGTTAGCAATTAAGGCATCTGAACAGCTTTCAACAATTACAAAAACCCATACGGTATAGTCAACTAAAAAAAGACCCCAACATTAATGGCCTACTATATAACAAAACAATTTACAAAAAAACCCAAAATGACGGGCATGAACCAAAGACAACCATTGAACTACAGGCTCCTGACTTAGGACAGACACAGAAAGAATGCAGCTGGATTAAACATGTTCATGAGCGCTCAGCAACCAAACTGGATATTCAGCTTAAAAGGCCCAGACATGACAAAGTCTGAAACAATTCAAATGGCCTGATTTATGAACCATTATTATAACAATAAAGGAAAAATAATTTGTCAGACAGAAACCGTCAACAACCGCTGAATTACAGGCTTCTGTCTAGGGACCTTGCAACTTTATGTCACCTTGAAGTTGAAATATAGATATATTATATTTTTCTTGGTTTGAGACTGATAAATTAAGGTTGTTTCATGTATATTACTATTTTTAAATTGAAGATGATGAAGATGAAGTAGATACTACTGTCAAAGAAGAAGATGATGTTTTAATTCTAACAAATGACAACTTTGATACCACTATAAGTTCTAAAGGTATAATATTGGTGGAGTTTTATGCTCCTTGGTAAGTTGAATTAATTATTCAAAGTAGTGGTTAAAATAACTAGTCTCTGGCTGGCAAGCAGATTTTTTACAATTTTTAACAACAATATACATAATTTAAGATAATTGTCAAATGGCCTTGTAAGTGATCATAATTTACTGAATGCCACTTAATTGTAAGAATCACTTTGCCAGTTAGAAACAGCTTATGTTTACCTCTGCAAAGTTGTGTTTATTAATTTTAATTAATATTTTCACGTTGTGGATTCATTAATATTCTTAGGATAACAATTTTCATTTATTTCGTGGGTAGGGTGATACCACAAAATTAAAACCTGACATTTTGTATACAAACCTTTTGTTACTTTTAATATTCTGATAAAGAATGGCAAATTTTTCTCAACACAGCAAATTGATACCAATGAAAATAATCAATCGGTAGTATTTGTCTTTCCAAATAAGATAGAACCATTATTAGTAAGATTAATGTTTTTTGTCTTATGTTGTAACTCATTCTCTTTTAAAACAAACGTTTTAACATTTATTTTATCAGTATTAAATATATTTTATTTATACTTTTTGAAAGTATATTAGACATGTTAGAAAGTTGTTGCAGTATTGAAACTCTGAAAGAATATTGAAAATGAATATAAGAATTGTTTGTGCAAGATGGAAATAGTTGAATAAATCATTTTACTGTTTTAACATTTTACAGGTGTGGGCATTGTAAATCGCTGGCCCCAGAGTATGCAAAAGCTGCAAAGGCTTTAAAGGAAAGTGATCCACCTGTATCATTGGCTAAAGTAGATGCTACTGAACACAAAGAGTTGGGTCAAAGGTAAATGGTATTGTCTATTTAAAGTTTATAATAATTTCTGAAACAAGTCACTTTAAACTTCATTTCACACTGGACTGATTAGGTGGATAAATTCTTTTCTCAGTAAAAATCCTTTGATGGTATAGCCATGATGTTTCGTCTCAAAAAATTATTTTACTTAACTAGGGTAACAACCAAGAAATATTTGGTTCATTTTACCCCTAAGGTTACTTGGGTCACCTAAACATTTATGTTTATTAGTCCCCTACCGACGAAGTCGAAGGGGACTTCAGGTTTGCACTCTGTCCGTCTGTCTGTCCATCCATCAGTCCACCAAATCAGTTTTCCACACTTTTTTCTTCGTGCTTGAAGATATTGATTTGATATTTGGTATATAGTGTTATCATGACTAGTTACAGATCAAGTTCGAATTTTGTTCCGGTCTGATGATTTTGTGCGAGTAATGGTCCTTGGACTTAGAAAATTCACGCAAGTAATCAGTTTTCCGCACTTTTTTTTGTCATGCTTAAAGTATTGATTTTATTTTTGGTATATAGTTTTATCATGACTAGTTAGGGATCAAGTTCAAATTTTGTTCCGGTCTGATGATTTTGTGCGAGTTATGGTCCTTGGACTTAGAAAATTCACACAAGTAATCAGTTTTCCGCACTTTTTTTTTGTCATGCTTAAAGATATTGATTTGATATTTGGTATATAGTTTTATCATGACTAGTAACGGATCAAGTTCAAATTTTGTTCCGGTCTGATGATTTTGTGCGAGTTATGGTCCTTGGACTTAGAAAATTCACACAAGTAATCAGTTTTCCGCACTTTTTTTTTTGTCATGCTTAAAGATATTGATTTGATATTTGGTATATAGTTTTACCATGACAAGTTACAGATCAAGTTCAAATTCAGTTCGGCTCGGATGATTTTTTTTGGCAGAGTTATGGTCTTTGGACTTAGAAAATTCACTCAAATAATCAGTTTTACACATTTTTTTTGTTATGCTTGAACATGGTGAAGATATTGATTTGATATTTGTTATATAGTTTACACCATGACAAGTTATAGATCAAGATAGCATTTTGTTCAAGTACAACAGATTTTTAACCGGTAGGGGACTATGTATTGCTATGCAATACTCTCAGAAATGCTTGTTATTTTTAGAAACCTTTATGATGAGACCTGTAACATGGCTGCTATATTTTACTACTAAGTGCATTCCTCTTGTTTATACACACACAGTACATTTTGTACAAACTTTTTTTGTAAGTTAAGTTATTTTGAACTCTTTCATTCTACAACAGCTTTGGTTCTGTGTTACAATATGTCCATTTTTGATTGGTCCGTCACACTGGTATTGTAACTGATATTTTACTGCTATACTATTGCTATTGTAAATCAAAGTAACACTATTGTCATCCTGGTTTACATTTCGCAGATGAGTGACATGTGAAGTTTTGTACATAGTTGTTTGATCTGTATGGTAGTTTTTCTCATGTGTCTTTTTATCTACTGTGGATTCATTGTTGATACTCATGTGATACACGTCATTTTGGTAAATTTCGTGTTTATAGATTAAGTTCAACAATGTACAAAATTTTCTATAGGGTTGTATGAAGTATTTGGCTAAACCATCAAATCCAATATCCATGAAGACACAATTTTCTGTCAATTCAAGAAAAATGGTGTCCATTAAAATAAATGAATCCACATGAAGTTATCTGAGTCTTATTTACTTACAAATTAGCTTGTTTTCTATATATATACTTTTTTAATATGCAGTAACAGGGACTTAACTCCAGGGGCCAGCTGGGCCCACAACATATTTTTTCAGGGGCCCAGTTGAAATTTTAGGGCCCAACCAATTTTTACACTAATAAAATAAACTTTAATGTACTTTTCATATACTAATAAAGCCTTTTACAGTAATCCTTTATGTAGCTTTTGAGTCTTGTAAAGATTATGTGTGATAACTTTATAATATTCGAATTATTCCCACCAGAAATATCTCAAAATATTTGACAATACTGATTTCAGTACATTTTCCACCAAAATTGTCTCCCTTCAATTTGAACTTCCTGTTGACATTTTGACATTATGGCTGTTTCAAATCCAAGCCATCTTCTGATGGTTTGCAGAAATATTATTCATTTGCTCTATATTGAAGATTGGATAGCAAATAATATATTTTGATATTTATTTATGAGACTGTGTTTCGTTTTTTCATTGAAGATTTTGTAAATAGCGACAAGTTATCGTCAAATACAGGCTTTTAATGACTCCCTGGAAAACTGGAATGCATCTCTGAAGCAATGCAGATTCAACAGTTTAGACGAAAACACTAAACAATAATATCATAATCATAGAAACTTTAAAAGAGAGAAAAGATAACGTGTTTAGAGAAGTGGTATATGTCAAATCGTGACTTTGCATTGTTTTGGTTATTAAAACGAAATTACTGATGTTAATTTTACTGCCTTGGTTAGACAATCAGTTTTCTGGTTGGGAACAGTTTTTTCGCCCAGGCGAAAATATAGTCGACTTGGGAAACTGGTCGACCGTTAAGTTTAGTCCCTGAGTAAGAATAATGCTGTTGAGAATAATTACAGATAAACCAGTTTATTGATCAACACTTATATCAAATCCCATTCCAATAAATAGATTTTATTTATTGGATTTCTTTTAAATGTTGTTTTTACAGATTTGAAGTAAGTGGTTATCCAACAATGAAATTTTTTAAGAATGGTGAACCCTATGATTATGAAGGACCAAGAGAAAGTGAAGGTAGCTACATGTACAATATAGTAACTTTTTTACATATACAATGTATAGACCTACCTACATGATTTGTTTTAATATATGTTTGTCTTCCTAAATATGCATGAGATATTTGCCAATGGATGTTAAACAAACAAACATCAATCAATCATATACAATGAAGTGTCTTTGTAGACCACATATTTTTATTGTATGGGAATGCAATTGTTAAATCTGTTATATACAGTCCTGGATTTCAAGTCCTTTCTATTTACTATATCTATCACAGCTCCATTACTAGGATCCATCTCTGTTTTGACTTCAAAACATATATTTTATGAAATAAGACAGTTAAGAATGATTTTACATACACCAACACTGATTCTCTATTGAATTTATTTCAGTGTCACTGACCCCCCAAACATGACTGTCATAAAATTAGTGAATATTAAAAAGATACTCTATTTCTGGATATTTTTACAATGCAGTATAGAAATAAGGAGATGTGGTATGATTGCCAATGAAACGACTATCCACCAAAGTTCAAATGAAGTGGATATAAGCAACTTTATGGCCTTCAACAATGAGAAAAACCAATAATGTATAGTCAGCTATAAAAGACCCAACATGAAAAATATGAAACAATTCAATTGAGAAAACTAACAGCCTAATTTATAACAAAACAATTTACGAAAAGCAAATATGACAGACATGAACCAATGACAACCACTGAACTACAGGCTCCTGACTTGGGACAGGCACATATAGAATGTGGCGGTGTTAAACTAGTTTGCTGGTGCCAAACCCTCCCCTGACCTGGAACAGTGGTGTAACAATACAACATAAGAACAAACTATGAAAATCAATTGAAAAGGGCTTAACTCATTAGATGGATACAAAGCAGAAAAAATCTAACGAAATTAAATCCAATAACAACTAATACAAAAATGTTTATAAATGATGAGGTAGAAGAAAAAGATGTAGAATTAATATAGATATGTAATTTCAGGAATCATTGCTTTCATGAAGGAAAGGGCCTCAACAGACTGGAAACCTCCACCCCCAGCTGTCATACAGCTGAAGACAGATGATTTTGATGAATTTATTAATAACCAAGATATTGCTCTAGTAGAGTTCTATGCCCCATGGTATGTATTTTAGATATATATTCAATTATATTAAATATTGAAAATCACACACTTTTGTCAGATTAGAATAGACTAAGTTCAGTTTACTGGGCATAAAAGGAATTCTACCTATAAAAAGACTATTAAAAATTAATTATGTAATATTCGTTTCTGATTTTTCTTAATCAGCAAAACAATACCTGTAAGCTTACTCTCAGTAACTTCATTTAATCATTCTGTGATGCAGAAGTATAGAGTACAGTTTTCCCCAAGCAAATACAATACCTGTAAGCTTACTCTCAGTAACTTCATTTAATCATTCTGTGATGCAGAAGTATAGAGTACAGTTTTCCCCAAGCAAATACAATACATGTAAGCTTACTCTCAGTAACTTCAAGCATTCTGTGATACAGAAGTATATAGTACATTTGTCCCCCCTCCCACTTATAAGCCTACCCTTTCTGAACCTTGAAAGGGATTCTACAAAGATGTTGGTCTTTCTTGGGTTTAGATATATTCATAACAGTTATACATTTTTTTTGGTGCATTTTCTAAAAGTTTTTTTTCTTCAGTTTTTAAAGTACTGTTTATACGGTGATATATTTTTGGTTTGAATAATCTAAAAACCAATCTTCTGATGTTTTTTCTGGCATTGATCATGTTGATGGAAGATCTCTGGAAGCCCCAGTATTCATATCATAAAGACATGCTATCTTCTTGCATTATTCACAGTGTCTGTACTATTTGTCACTGGACATTAAGCATCAATTAAGCAATCATATGCATTGAATTTATTTGCAACTTGTCTGCCATGTTCCTTGATCCCTGAAAAGTTGTTTTATATAAAAAAAAAACAAAACAAACCCAAAACCAAAATAAACATGCTAACAACAAACAGGAGTAACAAAATTGTGCTGTGCCTTCAAATTGATCGACATCTTTAATCTGTACATTTTATTAAAAAAAATTAATGAAGTACAGTTAGTAAGATTGAGAACTTGACATACATGGTATAGACACTTTCTTGTTTTTGAAGGCTGATTGAGGTTTCTTTTTATTTACTGTGTTGTTAGGTTAATTATTGACATTTACCCCACATCTAATTTTTGCATAGCTAGTATATAATATGTATCACTGGAATTTGATGTTGGTATAAAATAGAAATAAAGGTTTATTAATTTGTTAAACATCCCAGATAACCAAGAGAAGTTGTATGAAACACCTTGCTTTTGATTAGGTAATTGCAATAATTCAATTCATTATTAAGGTAATTTTGTAGGTGTGGACATTGTAAAACTCTTGCTCCAAAATATGAAAAAGCAGCTCAGATACTGAAGAACCACAAACCACCTATACCTTTAGTAAAGGTCGATGCTACTGTGGATAGTGAACTGGCCAACAGATATGGTGTATCTGGGTATCCTACATTGAAAATATTCCGTAAAGGTCGAGAGTCTGAGTATAAAGGACCAAGAGATGAAGGTTTGTATATTAGTATTAATGGAATGCTAAACACCTGTCCATAGTTTTCAAAACTAGACAAATAAATTTACGCAAATTCTTAAAAAGATTCAAAAAATCTTAAATATTCCTGTTTTATGAACTAGGAAAAATGTTTCTTTGTTTTAACCCCAACATTTCTTTTTATTCCTAAAACTAAAAAAAAACAAATAATCACATTAGTGTTGTGTATATACCAGCACTTATATTTTACTTGATTGTTTTATCTTTTTTTTTAAATATTTTCAGGAATAGTGAATTATATGATCAAACAATCACAAGAGGCATCAAGAGTACTACTAACAGTGAAACAAGTACAGGATTATATGAAAAAGGATAAATTGATGGTGATGGGATTTTTTGAAAGTGTAGAAGACAAAAAAGTCAACATACTTATGGATGTGGGTATGTAATTTTGCCTTTTTATACACCCGTTTACGGGACGTATTATGGTATACCGTTGTCTGTCCGTCCGTCCGTCGTCAACATGTTGGACATTAACTCAAAAACGCTTTAACCAATTTGCATGAAACTTTGGTGAATTGTTTGTATCTATTGACCTGAGCCCCTTTCGTTTTTTATAAATTTTGAATTTGACGTTTCTGAGTTCTGGGGTTTTATTCATTAAAAAAAGGGGGATTTTCCAGTTGTCGGACAATAACTCAAAAATGCTTTCACCAATTTGCAAGAAACTTTGGTGAATTGCTTATATATATGGACATGAGCTCCCTTTTGATTTTTATAAATTTTAGATTTTACGTTTCTGAGTTATTGGGTTTTATTCATTAAAAAAAGGGGGATTTTCCAGTTTTTGGACAGTTACTCAAAAATGCTTTGTGCAGTTTTCATGAAACTTTGGTGAATTGTTTATATCTATTGACGTAAGCTCACTTTAGATTATTATAAATTTTAGATTTGACGTTTCAGATTTATGTGATTTTATTCATAAAAAAGGGGGGATTTTCCAGTTTTCGGACAATGCTTTTGCAGTTATCATGAGACTTTGGTGACTGGTTTATATCTATTAAGATAACCTCCCTTTAGTTTTTCATGAGTTTCTGATATGACATTGAGAAGTTATTGAACTTTATTCTTTGAAAAAGTGACGGGCGTATCTTGCACTCATGGCGCAGCTGTTTATTCAAATCTAAAGCAATCTGTCAATATTTTCAAAAGCTTACAACATTTTCTTTTTATAATATCATATTAAACAGGAAAGTATTATTGGGTTAACAATATTTAAACACACTGTCAGCAGAGATACCAATAACAAGATTGTCTAAGGTTGCTTACCTGTACGGTCTGTACCATAAAAAATTGTTGTCTTACCTACACAGCAAATTATCTTTCTTGTAGAGGCTTTTTATTTTGGGTGGTTTCACAAAAACATAAATTGCACAGAGGGAAGGCAACTCAAATTGGCACTGTTGGTAGTTGTGAAATATTATTTTTTACATTTATGTCTAAAATGAATGTCACCAAAATTTCTTCAATGGAAACATTTTAAAATGCATGGCACATGTTAAGTACCATGTTATCTATACATAAGAACCATAGAAACAACTCTTCTTTTTGGTGAATAGGTGAATGACTGATTTTATGCTAAAATTGTGACCAAATACACATTTCTTTCCAGGGGCAATCTCAGTTGACAGCCCCTTCTTTCATTCTATTGACTTTCCCAAACCATTCAATTGATACATTTTAAATTTGTTCTCGTCTTCAGTATAAATAAAATATTCCCTGCTAGAACTTAAACAACCTACAGACAACAATACTGTTTTATATAGGTTTTTTATGTCAGAAATTTGTCTGATTTCTTTCGGTATGTATTTATACTTGTTTCCATATTACAAACTGATTCTTCCTACATATATATACATGTGATTTATACTCGCATTTGATTATTATTTCCCTCTAGCAAACCAGGGGAGAGAACTTTTCAGATTTGGACATACCTTTAACAAAGACATATGGAAAAATTTTGGCATTAGCAAACCATCAATTGTCATTTTTGTGGCTGAAAGATTCCAGACAAAATATGAACCTAAAAGACATGTTTTAGATAAAGTAAGTATACATGGTATACATTTGGAATTGATATAAATTATATGAAAGTTTGGTGTTAATTTATTGATTTTGAAATATGTATGAATGTTTATAATTTGATAGCTTTAGTTTATAAGGCAAAAATGTTACTTGTAAAGCTGTAGGTTCTTCTTTTGAATTAAAGAAAAATGCTTTGAAACAATGTTACAACTTTCATGTAGAAAAGGGGAAAGATGACTACCAGTTAAGTTCAATTATTAATTATTATTGAATTATTAAATGATGTGAACAAATCTTATTTTGATTGTTGGAAATAAGTTAAATAAAAGCATATTTATACCATTGCCCACTACTACTAATTTCTTCTTTTGTTATAACTATTTATTCGTACTAAACACAATCATTAAACAAACATATTGGAATTTCAAGAATGATTCATTATATCTGTGTTTTATAATGAGGGAATCATTTGCATAGCATAAACAAGGGGGAATCAACCCGAACTAATTTAGGAGAATAATAAAAGGAGATATTCATTTCAAATTACTTTCAATATGTTTTATTTATAGGATGATTTTACTGAAGAAGACTTGAAGACATTTGTGGAAAAGAATGCCTTCCCATTGGTTGGTGAATATAACCATGAAATGGAGCCACGTTACAGAGAACAAAGACCTCTATGTTTAGTGTTTTATACTGTAGATTGGTCCTTTGATCACAGAGATGGTACGATCATTAAGTAGAGTCCCACTTAAGTTAAACAATTATCTTACTGTTTATCAAATAGTCACAATAAGGTAGAACTCTTATCTAACCGTTTATCAAATTTGTTTAATTCATTAATATTCATGAGATACCAATTTTCGTGGATTTCATAGGTAGGGGGAAGCCACAAGGGTAAGGTTCTCTTTTGGCAAAATATAGCCTGGAATTTCAACTTTATCAGAAAATATCAAAAAGGCTGCAGTTTGGTTATTAAATGGATACATTTCAAAAGCCTTAGTGCTAAAACAATTCTCTTCATAATAGTACATTATAAGCTCCAATCTTAGCATGTTTTGAAGATATTGTCAAAATATGATAAATTGGTACATTTTTATAGACCATAAAGCTTTAGGACAACCTTGGTCGCAACCTATAATCCAAACTGTTCTGTAGCCAAGGTATGAAAATTAATGTCAATGAAAATAAATGAATCTACAGAAGACACATTAAGGTTGAACCTTATCTTACTGTTTATCAAATACAGTCATATTACCGTTGAATTTATCAAATAGTCACATAAAGGATAAATTCTGTGAAACTTGAATTGTGTTCTAAAATATTTATCTATAATCAATATTAAAATTAAAATGACAATACTGAGATTCCTATTTTAATTGATATTTTTGAAAATCAGAACAGTTATTTATTATGAAATGAATAAATATAAATCTTTTTTATGATAATACAAGATATTTTTATTATTTTTAGCAACAAATTTGTGGAGAACAAAAATAGCCAAAATTGCTAAAGATTTTGATAACATCACATTTGCTATTGCTGATGAAGAAAATTTCAAAAACATGTTGGAAGAGTTTGGATTAGGAGATTCTCCTGAGGAGATCAACATTGGTTGTTATTCAATGGACCATAAACGTTACCCCATGGAACCAATGGAAGAGTTTGACAGTGATGAAATAGAAGAATTTTTACAGAAGTTTAAAAAAGGTTTGTATCATGAAATGGATAGTCTTTAACAGGATTAAAGTTGCTTGTTCTGAGAAGTATTTTTATGGCACATATGTCAAATAGAATAAAATATGACTTCATAAATACATTTTATAAACACAAAAGAACAATTGAAACTCATGTAATGTATACCTTGTTCAATTCTGAATATTGCTATGAAAAATATTTGTATAGAAAATTACTTCCCTTTAATTTAGGAAATGTTGAGTTTAAGTATTATTTTTTCTTGTTATTTCAGGAAAATTGAAGCCCTACATCAAATCTCAGGCTATTCCAAAGAGACAATCAGGTCATGTAAAAGTGGTTGTTGGTAAAAACTTTGAATCGGTTGTACTGGACAAGACTAAAGATGTTTTAATAGAGTTTTATGCACCATGGTGTGGACATTGTAAACAGATTGAACCAATATATGCTGACTTGGCTAAAAAGTTGAAGAATGAGAAAAACTTAGTTATTGCCAAGATGGATGCAACAGCAAATGATTCTCCTGACCCATTTACAGCAGAGGGATTCCCAACTATTTACTTCGCACCAGCTAATAAAAAATCTGAACCCATGAAATTTGAAGGGGAGAGAACTGTAGAAGGATTTGAAAAGTTTTTGAAGGAACATTCCACAGTATCATTTAAGGCCAAGGAGGAGTTATAGTTTTAACTGAGAAATCTTTACTAAATATTTCAGGTTAAAATATTCAGTTGTGTCTTGATGAAGAGTTCAGATTGTTTTCAGGTTTTAATCAAATTAATTTTACATTAACTGGTTGACTTAAAAGCATTTTAATAACATTTTAATTCATTTTAGGCAATATAGGTTAATATCTATAGTCATGAAAATTTCTTTGCTGTAAAAAATAGATTTTGCAACATACTATTCTGGGCCATTTGAGCTTATTTTTATCTCGTCTGCAGAAGCAAAATAAATTCTGTATATAAAAGCAAATTAACAATAGCCAGTAAGATATTTATCATATGAAATATATCCTCAGATTTTAATATAGTAAAATATAGTAAAAGTAGATGTACATGTAAATAACATTTGAAACTTGTTGTAATGGTTACTTTGCTAGATGAAGATAGGATATTTATTTTTATATTTAAAATTGATGTCATTTACTTAAACTACAACATTTATTTTTACACACCATCTGTTATAGTAAAATATATAGTACAATTTTTTTTATGTTTTTATTTCTTACTAGTCCATGTTGGCTGCTGTTTGGGAAGAACTATAATGTTAATTCTGAGAGCAGTTCATCCAAACCATTGTTATGACTAATTGATGCGAGTTCCATGTTTTTTTTTAACATGATAGTATCTTAAAGAGGATTTTCAGATTATATGAGCATGACATGTATGAACAGAAGTGTTCTGATTCATTGAATATTGTTAATGTATCCATTTTTTGAACTGTCTTCATTGATGTATGCTTTTTTTGTTTTGAATTTGTTATTACTTGTTTTGTTTTGGTGTTAGGTGCTTATTGAATTTGAAATGGCTGACATTTCTTTCAACAAAAATACAACATTTTTCTTAATCTTAGTGATTTGAAATAATTTAGGTTAAAGATTATCTACTAAAATGAATATTGCCTTGATTATTAAACATTTTGTTACCTGTCCAAGAATAATACTTCTGTTTTATATTGTTCAAATTGATAGCACTGATTGTGTAATGCCCTAAAAATAGAATTTATGGTTCCTTTGTTAGATGATAACTCAATATTGACCAAAGGTGTGTCCATGTGAGAAAATTGAGAAGGACAAAAATTTAATTTATGTTTGCACATCTTATGAAATCAGAGTTTACACTTTAAAACCAGATGATCAGTATAATCTCTGAACCCTTCCCTTGATAGTTAATTGTGATCAGGATGAATTTATACCAAATAATATTTTGATACTTTTACACTTCTATTTGTTGAAACCTACACTTTAATGGAAGTACTATTTGTAACCATTGGAATCTATTACCGTAATGTTTATTTTTTCATTTCACATAGTGTTTGTTTATAGGTTGTGTGATGGGTACATGTATGTTATAAACATTTATGTAATAAATATGATTATAATGAATAGTACATATGAGAAACTTTGATAGGTGTATGGTAGTGTTTAAATATATATTTTTTCACATTAAAGATTTGTTTGTTATATCTTGTGCATAATAAATGAGAAAGCATATCAACATATTGATAGAACTGTTGGTACAATTCATGATAATATGATAAAACTTATACAAATTTTACCAGATGCCAGTTCAACAACTACTTAGAATTATGGATTCATTTTTGTCTCGCCTTTGCGGAGTCAAAAAGCGAGGCATAGGTATGCTGTTTCCAGCTTTGGTGGCGACGGCGGCGTCAACAATGTATTAGTTTGTGATTAGGTCTAGTTTATGGGGAACCACTGGTGATAGGTCAATGATATTTGGTATGCAGTTGTATAAGCATTGGCATATCTCATTTCCATGGAGATTGTTCAGCCATGTATCTTCAGTCATGGTTCATCGACTTTGAATATTTGCATAACTTACATGTTAAAGTATTGCTTTTTTAATTTCAACATTTGCATTATCAAAATAACAAATAGGCGAGACATATCTCTGTGTTAACAGTTTATTATACTTTATAAGAATTTCAATGACTCGCAAACATTCTGTTATTTCAGTCTATATCAAAATCAAGTTGAGTTGAAAGGCTCATGCCTGTAACACTACATTGTAACAATTAAATTAAACAAACAGAGTTTTAATAGCTTTTGAACTATCTTCTGTTCATTTAATTCAACCAATCACAAAGGATTTGTCTAAAACAGACTGATTGATTGTTGTTTGAATAACTCCCATTGGCAAATATTTCATGGATATTCAAGCCAAGATAATTGTTTGATAAAACTTATCTAGATCAGTGTACTTATTAAAGGGGCATTAGCTGTCAAATTCAAGTTCACCGATATAACTCTTAATTCTCATATCTGATTTATAACATACTTAAAGGTATTTCCAAATTACAAGAAATCTGAAATAAACAATTAAAAATGCATGGACTCGATAATATATATCAGAATTTCATGTGTATTTTAGTCTAGACGCCATCTAATTAACAATCAAGATGACCTCCGATGACTGCCAATAGTCACATAACCCGATATAAACATAAACATAAATATAAATAGATAGCGACCTTGTGCATTGGACTGTTCTAGGTTTGTTTCATTTCATATTATAGGTTAAATTAATATGTTAATCAACGTTTTTACCTGTATAAGAATGAGTTTTTGTGGATTGAATCGGTCAATCAAATGGTTTACCCTTGTTTCACTTTCAATGCTGACATTCTTTTCCTATTGATGGCTGAACATGACTAATACATGCGTAACCACTCTCTAGCTAATGGGTTAAACTGAAGGTCACATGAATACGGATTCAATGAGGTCGAAAAAAATAAATTATCTGGATCAAAGAATGCTAGCAACTACATAAAGCCAGCTTGAATATTTTAACCTGCTGAAATGAATTCATGCTGTTCCAACATCTAATATCTGTTGCTGTAAATATAGAAGATTTGTAAATCACTTTGTCAGTATGATGTAAAATACAAAATAATCAACCGGACAACGATATTACCACAAAGTTTAAAACACCAAAAACTAAAAAAAAACCTCTTGAAAACAGAAAAGCATCCAGATCACATCATGACAGGGCAATAATAGGCTAAGGAGTGTTCCATCAAGGCCAAGATGCCCTTGGGTAACAAAATGGTTATACTGAAATCATCATAAGATGTCAACAATAAGTTGCAGAAAAACATTATATATACGAATAAAGTAATATGTTAATTCCCGAAAATAAGTTTTGATACAAAATGAATGGAACAAGCAGAATGGCAATATATTTGTTATCACCTCCATGGATGCCAATACATGTATTATCCAAAAATGAGGGCAGTGAATTTATCTATCCCGATTATCCCACAGCATAAACACTATCATTAAAATTTATTATAGTATAACCTTGATGCTTTAAAAATTTCAGTGTGCTCAACTGAAAAAAACGTCTTTGTTCTCAAGAGTGAATTGAACTTAATAGAATGATGTATTTATGATTTTCAGTAAAAAATCTTTATTTCCTTGGCACCACTAGTTATTCATTTTAACCAGATTTTTTAAGGAAAAATTGGTTATTGATTTGGGGATGTACGGCGGGCGGGCAGGCGGCTGCCAAACAGTGTCCGATCATTAACATGAAAACGCTTTGACGAAATCCTTACAAATTTATATATGTTGTTTCCTGTGACTAAACGAAGGTCAAGTTAAATTTTCATGATTTTAGCTTTTCTCGTTGTTGAGTTGTAGACCTTTCAGTAGCAAAAAGTGATATTTATTATATGATTTATTTTAATTTTGAGTTATTTCCCTTTGAACAGAAATGGTGTAATTAATAAGTATATGGATAGATAGTCTATCAATGATTGTATGTGTTCAATTGATTTTAAGTCGAGAGTTGTCAAAAATATTTTTATAACTTTTTTTTTAAGTCATGTGTGTTTTGAAGGTAGATGTCACAGTTGTTATGTGGTATTTTATTTTTGTTGGGTGTGTTAATGTTTATTTTTTACTTGATCCTGTTTGGGGATCCAGATTTGCAAATATCATTTTCATTAGATAATAATCTATTTTTTTTAAAGGATATATTTCATTACATTACATTGTGTAGATAAAGTTGTTGACATTGATAGATAAGTTGCAGATATTAGTTTGTGACAAATGAAAGAAAAAATATTGGGAACTATTAATTATATATATAAAGTTTGATTACACTAAGTGTTTTTAAGATAACAAAGCATGTGGTAATTATCAATCACAAAATTATAATTGGAGTGACAGATTTATTTGAAAATTTTGTGTTTCCTAAGTGTTGTTGATGATAAGCTCTGTAGGACGGTATGATATAGTTCGAAATTTAGTGTTCATTATTAGACATTTTGAAGATAATTACAGATAAGTTTTATAGATTTTTAAAAGACATTGTATTAATGATAAATGATATTTTGGAATTTTTTTTCTTTCTTTTCTTTGGTTAATTGTTTGAAGAATTTTGTGGCAGGTTTGTTTGTTATTCTGTATGAACTAATTTTCTGAATGCTATATATATTTTTTTATTTGATCCTGTTTGGGGTTCCAGATTTGCAAATATCATTTTCATGCAGGAAAATCCGATTTGCTGTCACTCTGACAACCTCTTGTTATTATTGGTTTGGCATATTACTCTAATTGAAATCAAATCAGTACTTTCCACTCTACAGTATCTAGTTTGTTTCATATAAAAAGAGGCAGAAGATACCAATGCGACATAGTTTATCTTATTTTATGTCATGTACATTCCATCATTTTCCTTCAACAATATTCAAACTTTGCACAGTGTTCACAAAGATTGGAGATGTGCACCTCCAATTTTAAATAGTTTTGACTTATTTTTTCTCAGCTTCTCAGAACTTCCCCTAGTACTCATTTTTGTAATGTGATGAGGGTGTCATCTGTCGATACCACCTAGTTTTCCTTCAACATTATCCAAACATTGCCTAGAGATTGCACACGGATTGGAGATGTATACCTCATATCTTTGACAGATTCCAATAAGTTTTCTCTCAGATTTCTTACATATGGAACTTAAACATTTTGCAATGGAGTGCCAACCTACAGATTGTTAACCTGTGAACTAGCATGATTAACATTTGGCTCAACGTAGCGGGCTTGTACAAAATGGGGTTTATATTGATACTACATTAACATGTTCTCGTCCTGAATAAATTTACACTCAAGCTATTTCTAAGGGCTGTTTTGAACTTGTGAACATTTAGTGATGTTGATGAATTTGCTACATGTGGAAGGCCTCATTGAATTTTAAATGAATAACATCAATAAAAGCTGTTCATGTGGTTTTAGTTTTGTCAAAGTGATTGTATAGATTATTTTATCATCAATTCGTTACACACCGATTTTACAACGCATACATTACTGTGACATTGTTGAGCTTGATCAAAAGGATTGAAGACGGCTAAAGAAGGGGAATTATATGGAAGGAAACACCGAAATCAGATAATTTAAGATGTCCTTCCGTGTCCATTTATTGAAAATGGTATTGATATAACGCAGATAGTCTCGTTTCTAGTATTCTCAGTTTCATGCTCGATGAAGTTTTGTATGAAAGCACAAAAAATAAGTGTTACAGAGTAGAACATCACCAATATATCTAAAACCTGAATTCAGGATGTAGTAAGACAGTCTTTCGTCTTGTCAGGACACTTTTCGCCCAGTCGCTTCGATACTTGCAAGATCTAATTTAAACCAATGATTTTGTTTATTTATTTTCATATTTTGTTTGTTAATTTCATTTCTAAAAATTATGTACTAGTAATTGTGTTAAACTAATGTTGCAAGTCCCTTTGGCAAAATTGATCTTAATAGACGATTCTGGCTTCTCTATTCTTATATTTTTGGCTCTCCAAACTTTGCCACGAGCGTACCTGGCGAAAATTATACCATACACATGTGCTCTTGAACACGGAAATCATATTTAGGGTTGCATGACCTATTAAAATATAAATCAGTTTAATTCAACAAAATATCGAAAGCAATTGTTTGGACTCTAAAACTAAAAGCATTTTAAAACAATTAATCGCACGAATCTTATTTTACTGTCAAATTATAATACATGCACAAATTATGATACAATATTTACTGCCATATTATAATACAATATATGCACAGATGTCAATTCTGATTATGTTTTAGCGTGAAGTTATAGATATATGATGATTTATAGCACAATGTATTCTTTAAAAGATGGTAGTTTTAAACATAAATGTCGGGGAAAAGTAATAAAATCGCTGTCTATTACTAACAGACTTAATTATTTTAAAAACTCCGCGGTCTCGTGGTAGCGTGCTGGAATGGAGTGTGGGGGTCGTGAGTTCAACCTGGCAAGGTCAAACCAAAGACTTCATAATTGGTATTTGCTGTTTCTCTGCCAAGTACACGGCGTTTAGGTGTAAGAACAAAGACCGGTTGGCTAGTAGTTAGAATAATGTGTCCGGTTAGGCTGATAGGTCTTCTTGTAGACCGTTAACTTTTGAACTATCACTTTAAAAATCCGACTCAATGTGTTGGTCTAATACAATTCATATCCCCATCAACTTGATATGCATAAGATAATTGCCACAGGACGTAAAACTACAATCTATCCACTCAAAAATGTATTGAATGTTGAAACCACGAGAACATATATCTTGGTAGAATCAGCGACAAAAAAGGGTACTAGTAATCCAAGTCAACGCTATTTGTTTGCTCTATTCCAACTACACATTCACTTTCCATTCTTAAGGTCGATGGAAAAGGTTACAAAATGTAGCACTAATTCGTTAATTCGCATTGTTATAAACATACAGATAGTTCGCTTCTTTTATTATAGCCCAAAAATGCGATGAAATGAATAGCACATTTTGTATGCACAATTTCTATAAATTGCATTTACTAATCTCGCATTTTTCCTTGAATTGATCAACAAATTCAATAATATTTGCACACTGACCAAGTATCGGATTTACACATGCCGTAAAAGGAATTAGAAGTCCTTCTAAATGATAATGGGCAACAAAACATAACAGCATACTTTTTGATATTTTATTATTTTTATGGTATAAACAGTACACATGCATATAGTTCAAAAGAACATTGAAAATCCTATCAAAGGATAAAAGTTGATGACTGTGAAAACATGGAGACAATATATTTCCCTTCTGTTTTACCAATGATACAGGTAGATAGAAAAAAAGTCATAAAAAACAAAACAGAAAAAACAATTTTAACGATTATATCATCCCAAATGATTATTTTTACGTAGCAGTGAAAAAGAATGAATGCCGAACCAGATTATCGACAAATTAAACATGCTTTTATAAGGAGTAAAAGTAAATATATTGTTAAGAGGCATGACTCATGAAAACTACAACCATTTAAAGGTAAATAGGATAATTTCAAATAAATATCATTAAGAAATTAAAATCCAAAAAAACATTGATACTAAGAAATTAGAATTAGTCAATTAGTTTAGCTTCTCAACGGTTAAAGAAACCATGTTGAAATTGAGCCCTTGCTGCTTCAGGTTTGTTTGTTTAAAAGCTTTCATTTAAAATGGGGAAACAAACCAATTTTTCAACCACAAAGACAGTCGTACTAACAATTTTGATTTATTTTTGTCTCTGAAATACCAAGTTTTATTAAATCTATAAGACACTATCAAGTTTGCTCACCGGCCTTCACATTACCGAGGATCATTATTACTGAACATTAACAGCCAACATTATTAAAATCGTGCTCCATCAGTAGTTTTGTTATAAAGGGGCAATCAGAAATGACAAATCAAGAAGCATGGCATCACGTGTCAAATATAGAGATAAGATCAAAGACATTTTAAATTCATCTATACATATCCATGTTTGTAACGCTGATTTTTCGTGGCAGTTAACCAATTCAAAACGGCCACCATACCTATATATAGAAATTTCAAAATTATTCACCATAGGTAATTCATTATTATTCAAGCGCAGGGAATAGGCCGCCCTTTTTATATATATATATATATATATATATATATATATATATATATATATATATTATGTTTAATTTTTTTTATTAGTAAAAATTCCTTATTATTTTAACTTAACAAGAACTTTATCATCTGTACTATTATTTGTCTTTTTATTTTTTGCCATGGCGTTGTCAGTTTGTTTTCGATCTATGAGTTTGACTGTCCCTCTGGTATCTTTCGTCCCTCTTTTATAGTTCCTAAGACACACGTTTAATATATTTGACAAATATAATTTATCTTCAAGAAAGCATTGTTTTCTTATGGGAGTAGCACCGTAGTGCGGTATTTACACGGTCGCCCAATTTCTAATTGTCTGACTTTGCCGCCTCGAGCTCTGTGCAGTATAAACCTCTTTAGAAAATGGAAGTTGACTTCTTTGCATTTTTTCTTTTTATTTCTTACTCTTGAATGTATACAGTTAGTTCTGGTTATATCAAAATAATTCTGAGATTCACAACTGTAAAAGAATGATTGTATATCCAAAAGTACATATATTATGCAATTTGTCTTTAAATCATGACACAATTATGAATCAATAAAAACTTATATGATACTTTATTTTATAATCTAAAAAAATCTAGAAATAACTCGATTATATTAAATTATTTACTGATAAAACAAATTTTGAAATGGTTGTAATAAAGACAATTTCCTGACATTGAATGAGGATGTTTTTCTTCACAAGTAAGGTCTCAGACGGTATAACCTCGGGCATAAACCGAATACAATGAACCTGTGTTGTGAATGGCTGTGCAGTATAGATGCCTATATGAACACTATAATTATTCAATGAATTTCATTATTTTCTAAAATATTTCAATTACCCGAATGTAGAAACATATTTTATGAATGGTAAAACAACAGTTAAAAGAAATAAAAAACATAAAAATTTTATCATATGTATTGTGCCATATGTTTAAATAACTCATAAAAGACATTCATTTCAGTGTTTCCATATAACCATATTTACGACTATTGTATCTCACTAAGTGGAAGGACAGATTGACAATTTGACCTTGATCTATATAACAGTATTATACTTTTCACTCTTCAGTGGAAGGAAAGATTGACAATTTGACCTTGATCTATAAAACAGAAATATACTTATCCTTCTTCAGTTGAAGGACAGATTGTCAATTTGACATTGGTCTATAAAACAGTATTATATTTTTCACTCTTCAGTGGAAGGACATATTGACAATTTGACCTTGATCTATATAACAGTATTATACTTTCCCTCTTCAGTTGAAGGACAGATTGTCAATTTGACCTTGATCTATATAACGGTATTACACTTTTCACTCTTCAGTGGAGGACAGATTGAAAATTTGGCCTTGATCTATATAACAGTATTATACTTTTCAATCTTCAGTGGAAGGACAGATTGTCAATTTGACCTTGATCTATATAACAGTATAATACTTTTCACTCTTCAATGGAAGGACAGATTGACAATTTGACCTTGATCTATATAACAGTATTATACTTTTCCCTCTTCAGTGGAAGGACAGATTGTCAATTTGACATTGGTCTATAAAACAGTTTTATATTTTTCACTCTTCAGTGGAAGGACAGACTGTCAATTTGACCTTGATCTATATAACAGTATTATACTTTTCACTCTTCAATGGAAGTACAGATTGACAGTCTGACCTTGATCTATATAACAGTATTATACTTTTCCCTCTTCAGTGGAAGGACAGATTGACAATTTGACCTTGATCTATATAACAGTATTGTACTTTTCCCTCTTCAGTGGAAGGACAGATTAACAATTTGACCTTGATCTATATAACAGTATTATACTTTTCACTCTTCAGTGGAGGACAGATTGACAATTTGACCTTGATCTATATAACAGTATTATACTTTTCACTCTTCAGTGGAAGGACAGATTGATATACTTTTCACTCTTCAGTGGAGGACAGATTGACAATTTGACCTTGATCTATATAACAGTATTATACTTTTCAATCTTCAGGGGAAGGACAGATAGACAATTTGACTTTGATCTATATAACAGTATTATACTTTTCACTATTCAGTGGAGGACAGATTGACAATTTGACCTTGATCTATATAACAGTATTATACTTTCCACTCTTCAGTGGAAGGACAGATTGACAATTTGATCTTGATTTATATAACAGTATTATACTTTTCATTCTTCAGTGGAAGGACAGATTGATAATTTGACCTTGATCTATATAAGAGAATTATACTTTCCTTCTTCAGTTGAAGGACAGATTGTCAATTTGACCTTGATCTATATAACGGTATTATACTTTTCACTCTTCAGTGGAGGACAGATTGCCTATTTGACCTTGATCTATATAACAGTATTATACTTTTCAATCTTCAGTGGAAGGACAGATTGTCTATTTGACCTTGATCTATATAACAGTATTATACCTTTCAATCGTCAGTGGAAGGACAGATTGTCAATTTGACCTTGATCTATATAACAGTATAATACTTTTCACACTTCAATGGAAGGACAGATCGACAATTTGACCTTGATCTATATAACAGTATTATACTTTCCTTCTTCAGTGGAAGGACAGATTGTCAATTTGACATTGCATGGTCTATAAAACAATTTTATATTTTTCACTCTTCAGTGGAAGGACAGATTGTCAATTTGACCTTGATCTATATAACAGTATTATACTTTTCACTCTTCAATGGAAGTACAGATTGACAGTTTGACCTTGATCTATATAACAGTATTATACTTTTCCCTCTTCAGTGGAAGGATAGATTGACAATTTGACCTTGATCTATATAACAGTATTGTACTTTTCCCTCTTCAGTGGAAGGACAGATTAACAATTTGACCTTGATCTATATAACAGTATTATACTTTTCACTCTTCAGTGGAAGGACAGATTGACAATTTGACCTTGATCTATATAACAGTATTACACTTTTCACTCTTCAGTGGAAGGACAGATTGACAATTTGACTTTGATCTACATAACAGTATTATACTTTTCACTATTCAGTGGAGGACAGATTGACGATTTGACCTTGATCTATATAACAGTATTATACTTTCCACTCTTCAGTGGAAGGACAGACTGACAATTTGATCTTGATCTATATAACAGTATTATACTTTCCATTCTTCAGTGGAAGGACAGACTGTCAATTTGACCTTGATCTATATAACAGAATTATACTTTCCCTCTTCAGATGAAGAACAGATTGTCAATATGACCTTGATCTATATAACGGTATTATACTTTTCACTCTTCAGTGGAGGACAGATTGAAAATTTGACCTTGATCTATTTAACAGTATTATACTTTTCAATCTTCAGTGGAAGGACAGATTGACAATTTGACCTTGATCTATATAACAGTATTATACTTTTCCCTCTTCTGTGGAAGGACAGATTGTCAATTTGACATTGGTCTATAAAACAGTTTTACATTTTTCACTATTCAGTGGAAGGACAGAATGTCAATTTGACCTTGATCTATATAACAGTATTATACTTTTCACTCTTCAATGGAAGTACAGATTGACAGTTTGACCTTGATCTATATGACAATATTATACTTTTCCCTCTTCAGTGGAAGGACAGATTGACAATTTGACCTTGATCTATATAACAGTGTTATACTTTTCACTCTTCAGTGGAAGGACAGATTGATATACTTTTCACTCTTCAGTGGAGGACAGATTGACAATTTGACCTTGATCTATATAACAGTATTACACTTTTCACTCTTCAGTGGAAGGACAAATTAACAATTTGACCTTGATCTATATAACAGTATTATACTTTTCACTCTTCAGTTAGAAGGACAGATTAACAATTTGATCTTGATATATTTAACAGTATAATACTTTTCACTCTTCAGTGGAAGTAAAGATTGACAATTTGACTTTGATCTATATAACAGTATTAAACTTTTCACTATTCAGTGGAGGACAGATTGACAATTTGACCTTGATCTATATAACAGTATTATACTTTTCACTCTGCAGTGGAAGGACAGATTGACAATTTGACCTTGATTTGTATAACAGAAATATACTTTTCCTTCTTCAGTTGAAGGACAGATTGTCAATTTGAAATTGGTCTATAAAACAGTATTATATTTTTCACTCTTCAGTGGAAGTACAGATTAACAATTTGACCTTGATCTATATAACAGTATAATACTTTTCACTCTTCAGTGGAAGGACAGATTGACAATTTGACTTTGATCTATATAACAGTATTATACTTTTCACTATTCAGTGGAGGACAGATTGACAATTTGACCTTGATCTATATAACAGTATTATACTTTTCACTCTTCAGTAGAAGGACAGATTGACAATTTGACCTTGATTTATATAACAGAAATATACTTTTCCTTCTTCAGTTGAAGGACAGATTGTCAATTTGAAATTGGTCTATAAAACAGTATTATATTTTTCACTCTTCAGTGGAAGGACATATTGACAATTTGACCTTGATCCATATAACAGTATTATACTTTTCACTCTTCAATAGAAACACAGATTGACAATGTGATCTTGATCCATATAACAGTATTATACTTTTCCCTCTTCAGTGGAAGGACATATTGACAATTTGACCTTGATCTACATAACAGTATTATACTTTTCCCTCTTCAGTGGAGGACAGATTGACAATTTGACCTTGATCTATATAACAGTATTATACTTTTCCCTCTTCAGTGGAGGACAGATTGACAATTTGACCTTGATCTATATAACAGTATTATTCTTTTCCCTCTTCAGTGGAGGACAGATTGACAATTTGACCTTGATCTATATAACAGTATTATACTTTTCCCTCTTCAGTGGAGGACAGATTGACAATTTGACATTGATTTGTATAACAATATTATACTCTTCCCTCTTCTTTCACGACAGATCAATCCGTATGCATAGGCTGGGGTTATAGTAGTGTTCCATCTAATGAAAATCAATTCAAGATTATTAACTCCATTATAGAGAAATATAAAGAAAAATTACGAATCAATTCGCTACCAAACCAATACAGAAATAAATGAAATCCCAATGTTCACCACTGTTCAATGATGAGGATTTAAGACATTGACTTTAAGAAATAATAAAAATGTGAAAAAGATATTCAGATTGATAAATACAACTTTCAATAATACTGATACACAACTTCAATCTTTGTCGTCATCTTTATCATCTTCATCATCATCATCGTCGTCGTCCTCTTCTTCTTTCATTTTAGGTGAAACCCTCTTTCCCTTTTCTGATACTGTAGGAGCAACTCTTGCCATGTTTTTACCTTCATCTTTATTGGAACATTTGGTATGTCTGCCTGGCATGGGATAATTAAGGGACGCACTATACAGTGGGTCCTCTACGGTTGTAATTTCTCCGGGAAGCTCGGCTTCCTCACCGCTCTCATTATCCTGCTTACATGAGTCATCATCAGAGCAGAGATCAACATCTTTGGAGTCAGAGCTATCTGTGCTCTTTACAAGCCAATATGTTATCATGTTACCCTTTCCCTGTAAAATAAATAAAAAAGTATAATTGAAGTTTTTTTGCTGTCGTTATCAATAAAGTATCCTTTCCAGTATTACATGATACTGCTATGATAATCAAAAGCGTATACTTTTGAACAAATAAATAATGGGTTGACATCAGACAAATTTGCTGTTTGGCTGTATTGTACAGGCCTTAGGGTTAAAATACTTCACTTTACAAAATTTCAACCTGAAGCATATCTTTTAAATGTCCTTCCAGCAACACATATCGTTCGCACTGTTAACTGATAGCCACAATGAGAACAAGCTCTAGCATATCTTATCAACTGCGATACGTAAGGACTGTACAATATTAATCAGATGACTAGGTTGGTACATTTATAAACATTATAATCCACCATCTACACCTATCTATATATCTATTACGTACACCTCATCTGTCCATCATCTACACTTGATTTCTTTATCGTCAATCAGCGACACCTCATCTATCCATATCGTCTACCAATCGTCTACACTTGTGTATCCATTTACAATCCTATATTTATCATCTACACCTCATAAATTCGTACATATCATCTGTCCATCATCTGATATTTATCTATCCATCATCTATATATCATCTATTCATCATCTAGACCTCATTGATCCATCATCTTCACCTCATTTTTCCATCATCTTCACCTCATTTATCCATTATATATCCACTATCTACACCTTATCTATGTATCATAAGTTAGTTTGATACCGTCTACCTGTTATTTACGTTTTTTCACCATGATACATGTAAGTCACAGTTACAGTCAGATAGATGTTTTTGTTGATTATTCATTTTAACTATATCTTGTCGGTGTATACGTTTGAAGTTTTTATTGGAAAAGTAAATAATAAAAGAGAGGCGAAAGGGATATTCAAACTCATAAGTCGAAAACAAACTGACAATGCCATAGCAAAAAACGAAAAACGACGACAAACACCAGTACACTAGACACAACATAGAAACCTAAAGACTGAGCGACACGAAATTAACAAGTTAATTAGTTATTTTACTCACCTTAACAGAAACGCTTCCCCGCTTCTTCATTTGAAATTTCTTTAGTTTACTAAGAAGTAGGTACGTTGAGGTACTAATGTGAATCTTGTTTGCTGAGGAGGAGAAAAAATAAACAAATAAACGGATTTAAAGGTTTAACTGTCCGCATGGTGAAACATGTACGACAAGGTAAATTATTATTTAGACATTTGTCATATCATTACCAAATCATCGTTGTCATAAAACTGTTATCATTTTTTAAAAACTTAATCAACATAACCGTGATGTTTCGTCTTGGCTATGTATAAGGGGTGATGCTAATACAAGAAACGTAACCATCCGGTTGCTTATTTTAGTTCCAGTGTTGTTATTTTCCCCCATTTCATTTTGTTTCGTTCTATTTATTGTAATAACATCGCCCATGGATAAATGGCAATGGTTGTAATAAGTAATATTGGAACCGGTCGTCATCCAGAAAATTTAAGCTCTCAGAAAAATAACAGAAAAAAACACTTGTTGAAGGTTAAGAGGGATCAATACTGGGAAATGACGAAAATCAAATCTAGGAAATATTCAAAATTCCATTCGAAAACAATTAAACATGTTTGCTACAACTTTTTTCAACTGAAGTATAATAGAATTGCATTTCTGAAATAGAAGTCATCCTGCAATCAGCCAACAATTTTAAAATATACATCTCTTTTGGATGGCGATGTTCCTTTGGTCCCATCTTACGGTGTTTATATATCCCAACTCGATAGCTATGAACGTTATCTATTTAGTACTGATAAATTATTAAGTCAAGGATTTCGTTACCCCAAATTAAACTGATTTTTATAGTTTGTTCTTGTTGTATTGTTACACCATTGCCACTGGTTACGGAGGAGGGTTGTGCGCCCGCAATCATGTTTTACCCGCCACATCCTGTCACAAGTCAGGAGCCTGTAATTCAGTAGTTGTCGTTTGTTGCTGTTTATCGCATTTGCTTTTTGTTTATTGTTTTGTACATTAATCATGCCGTTGGTTTTCTCGTTTGAATTGTTTTACATCTATCTTTCTGTTATAGCTGGTTATGTGGTATGGGTTTTGCTCATTTTTGAAGTTCGTACAATAATATATAGTTGTTCACTTCTACGTCATTTATGCTTATTTATAATTTTGCTCTTGCTAGTTATTTAGTATTATTCTGAACTGCTGTAATGTGCTTAATGCTATTGCTATATGTTTTACTTTAACTCATCAGATACAGACTGACACAAATGAGTTGAAGTTAGAATATGTAAAGTATAGACCACTTTTAAAGTGATGTTTATTCCAAATTTCAGAATGAGATGCTTGTATGAAATTATCTTTTCTTGTTGTGTTTATGGTACTTGTACATTAAAATGAAGTGAACATACTATAATAAGTTTTGCACAATCTCTGCTGAAACTAACTCATTAATATGATATGCATACACACACTCATGATGTGCAGTCTGTGTTTGATTGGTAGATAGTTTTGTTAGTTTTTATGATATATTGATCATGCATTAATTTGATTTACATTGTGATGCAAAAGTATTGCTTTTTATCAAGAGTGATACTACATTTGAAGTCGGTCAGTGTTCTTAATTTTTTGAAATTGCATGTCTCTCAAGTACGCATTGTTCTTTTAAACGAGAAATATTAACGTTTAGATAAATCTTATATATTTACAGCTACATCTCATAAAGAATATTGATCTTTGATCGTATCAGAGATATAATGAGTATAAAACATCTCTGCCTTCTTAAATAGACAAAGGATCATATAAATTTGTAAATTTGTCATGGGAGTTTTTAATACATATATACAAAGGACAAACATAGAAACTCCAATATCTACATGTAGTAAATTGAACAACTCTGACAGTCTTGAAATATTTTACATAAAAGGCTTATTTATATTATATATAGTTAATTTAACTAAAAATGTTTTTTCAAAAAGAATGAACGTGTTAGACAGACAACATCTTATTATAAAAATATTGACAAATCTGACTGGATCAGATTTGAAGGCAAAACAATGGACATTTGTATACTTGTGCTTCTTGTGTGATATTTTCTTTTTTGCCATAACCACATAGAATGGAAAAAATGTCTTTGTGTGTTGGAAAGAATGACAGTAAGGAAATTAAATGTATTATGAAATTATAGGAATGAAATAATCTTTCAAAATATGTACATAACATGAACTATACAGATATTCACTGTTGGGTTTGCTCAAATTAAATTTCCATCTGAATCCAATGTATTTATTAAAATTTCTTCTGAGTTTTCTCCCTTAGACCATTTAGAGTGAATATCCTACACAACAACAGTGAATGTCTCAGAGTGCAGATTTAATATTTGATTTTAATGTTGGACTCTGTCTTGCTATTGTATTTTATGTTTTCATATAAATGCATTTATTGCAAATTACAAATATGTCTTAAGGTGTCACGGATCTTGAAAAATTATACAGTTTTAAAGGAAAAGAATTCTAAAAGCCCCTTGATTTCACAAATATCATGGTATATTCATGTATACTCACTCATCATTTGAGTTATAAATATTGATAAAGCTAAACACATGCATGAAGGGTGATATTCTTAAAATAATGTTTTACAATTGTCAAGGTCTTTATACAAAGGAGAAACGGAGAGATGTTTTGAATTATTTAAAGTCAAAGAATTTTAATATCTACTGTCTTCAGGACACACATTTTACAGAACAAGACGAATTAAAATTAAAAATCAGAATGCCTTTTCAATTCATTTACATCCAATCAGAGAGGCGTGGCCATCTTTTTTAATGAAAACTTTGATCTTCAAATTCACAAAGTTAAAAAAGATGAGGGTGGAAACCTTCTTGGATTGGATATTACAATTGAAGAACAAAGAATTACCTTAGTTAATATTTATGGGCCAAATGTAGACACTCCTTGCTTTTATCAAAAGGTGGCAGACATCATTGAAGAATTTGATAACCAATCTTGTATTCTTTGTGGTGATTTTAACCTAATTCAAAGTTTTAATCTTGACACTCATAATTATGTTAATATCAACAACCCAAAGTCTAGAGAAAAAATATTACAGCTAATGGAAGACTTTAATCTAGTTGATCCATTTAGAGAATTATACCCCAATGTGAAAAGATTTACTTGGAGGAAAAAAAAACCCTTTAAACAATCTCGTTTAGACTTTTTTCTGATTTCTGATAATATTTTTCACTTTGTTAGTGATGTTAAAATTGATAATAGTTACAGGTCTGATCATTCACCATCTTTTCTTTCAAGATTAATGAATTTATAAAAGGCAGAGGCCTTTGGAAGTTTAATAATTCCCTTCTTCATGATACTGACTATGTTAAAGAGATAAAAAAAACTCATAAGTACAGTAAAAGAACAAAATGCCATCAAGATATATAGAGATGAAAATTTACAAAATATTGACAACTCTAAAATTGAATTTATTGTTGATGACCAGTTATTTTTTGAAACATTACTCACAGAAAATAAAAACAAGAGGCTCTCAAGAGCCTGAATCGCTCACCTGTATTTCAGAGGAGAAGATTTTTAAATGTTAGCAAACTTGATGAACAAATTGTGTAAAATTGTCTTTAATGGGCAATAACTCCTTAAGGGGTCAATTGACAATTTTGATCATATCAACTTTTTTGTAGATCTTACTTTGCTGAACATTATTGCTGCTTACAGTTTACATATATCTATAGTAATATTCAAAATAATAACAAAAAACTGCAAAATTTTGTTAAAACTACCAATTCGGTGGCAGCAACCCAACAATGGATTGTTCGATTCGTCTGAAAATTTCAGGGCCGATAGATCTTGACCAATTAAACAATTTTACCCCATGTCACATTTGCTCTAAAAAATTTAGTTTTTGAGATATAAGCCAAAAACTGCATTTAACCCTTATGTTCTATTTTTAGCCATGGCGGCCATGTTTGACAATTTATAAACTAGATACCCTAAGGAACATTTAGTTAAAGTTTGAAGGTAATTGGCCTAGTAGTTTCAGAGGAGAAGATTTTTAAATGTTAGCAAACTTGATGAACAAATTGTGTAAACTTGTCTTTAAAGGGCAATAACTCCTTAAGTGGTCAATTGACAATTATGGTCATATTAACTTTTTTGTAGATCTTACTTTGCTGAACATTATTGCTGCTTACAGTTTATATATATCTATAATAATATTCAAAATAATAACAAAAAACTACAAAATTTTGTTAAAACTACCAATTCGGTGGCAGCAACCCAACAATGGGTTGTTCGATCCGTCTGAAAATTTCAGAGCTGATAGATCTTGACCAATTGAACAATTTTACCCCATGTTAGATTTGCTCTAAAAGCTTTAGTTTTTGAGATATAAGCCAAAAACTGCATTTGACCCCTATGTTCTATTTTTAGCCATGGCGGCCATGTTTGTCGATGGATACAAACTTCGGATGCAATTTATAAACTAGATACCCTAAGAAACATTTAGTTAAAGTTTGAAGGTATTTGGCCCAGTAGTTTCAGAGGAGAAGATTTTTGAAATAGTTTACGACGACAGACGACGGACGACGACGGACGCCAAGTGATGGCATAAGCTCACATGGGGCCCTTCGGGCCCCGGTGAGCTAAAAAGGAGGGTATAAAAATTGAAAATGAGATTATTTTAAAATTAAAACAATTAGAAGAAAGTGCACTAACAGAAGAAAATCTTGAAGAGATTGATCAGAAAAAAGCAGAACTTAAAATGTATAGACAAAAGAAGGTTCAGGGACAATATGTTAGGTCAAGAAGTCAGTGGATTGAAGAAGGAGAAAAACCTACCATTTTTTTTTAAATCTAGAGACTAGAAATTATATTAATAAGACTATTCAAAAACTTACTGTAGAAAATGGTGTTATAGTGGAAGAACAAAAAGAAATCTTAAATCAGACAAGGGTGTTTTATGAGAAACTTTATAAAAAATAAGATTGTTTGAAAAGGGTTGATTTAACACGGGACAATTGTTATAATGATATACCGAAGCTTAGCGAGGATGAAAAGCAGTTATTGGAGGGAAAGATTAGTTTTTCTGAATTAACTGCAGCATTAAAGAGAATGAAAAATAACAAGAGTCCGGGATCTGATGGTTACACGGCAGAATTTAAAAAAAAAATTTGGATTGATATTGGTACATTTGTCCTTAGATCTATAAATTATGGATATGGGAAGGGCCAAATGTCTGTCACCCAGAGGCAGGGAGTGGTTACATGTATTCCAAAAGATGGTTAACAAAAACAATTTCTTAAAAATTGGAGACCTATTACTCTTCTAAATTCTACATATAAATTGGCATCAAGCTGTATAGCAGAGAGAATAAAATCTGTTTTATCAAAATTAATAAGTTCTGATCAAACTGGTTTTGTTCCAGGTAGATATATAGGCGAAAATTGTCGTTTAATATATGATATTCTACATTTTACTGAAGATAATAATATCCCAGGAATTCTCTTGCTGATTGATTTTGAGAAGACATTCGATTCCATTTCTTGGTCCTTTCTTTATGATACATTAAGATATTTTAATTTTGGTGAATCAGTTATATCCTGGGTTAAAACCTTCTATAACAATATAACAGCTGCAGTGACACAAAACTGTCAGAATTCTTCACTGTAGAGAGAGGCTGTAGACAGGGAGATCCTTTATCCCCTTATATTTTATATTTTTGTGCAGAAATATTAGGCATTTTGGTAAGAAATAGTTAGGAGATAAATGGTATTACTATAGATGATACAGAATTTGTACTTTCTCAAAAAGCAGATGATACATCATTGATATTAGATGGCTCGCCAGAATCGCTCGATGCATCTCTTCGTGTTCTCCAATTGTATGCTGAAATCTCGGGACTTAAGATTAATATAGAAAAAACAAGTGTTATTTGGATAGGTAGCAAAAAACATAGCCAGGATCAAATTTGTGTAAAGTGGGTATTGAAATGGGGCTCCAGTACATTTAAGCTCCTTGGAATTACTTTTTCAGTCGATCTAGATAGAATGATTAATTTAAATTATAGGCCAGTTTTAGATAATATAGACAACACTTTGAAAGAATGGTCAAAACAGTATTTCACCCCCTTTGGAAAGATTACCATTTTAAAAACTTTGGTCATATCTAAATTAAATCATCTGTTTCTATCTATCCCTAGTCCAGATGAGAATATGTTATGTAATTTAACAAATAAAATGTATGCTTTTATCTAGGATAATAAACCTGATAAGGTCAAGCGAGATCTTTTATGTCAAGATTATTATATGGGTGGTTTAAAAATGCTAAATTTAAAAGCATTTATACAGGGACTGAAACTTACATGGGTAAGACGGCTGTATAACTCGAATTCAAAGTGGGTGAGATTAGTCTCTATTGTGGAGCAAATAAATTTTAGTGAACTAAGTTATATTGGGCCTTTTAAAAGGTCATCAAATAAATTTTGGCATGAGGTTTTTGATGCTTGGAAAACCCTGAATCAAATTAGAAAACCAAGATGTATTGATGAAATTCTATCTTATTCTTTATGGGAGGTAGAAAACATTAAAATGGGTGGTTCAAGAGTCTACTATAAAAACTGGGCAAACGCTGGAATTTGGACAGTGCATGACTTGTTAGATTATCAGGGCAAAGTTATGTCATTTCAAAATTTCCAACAATTATATCAATTTAGGCCAAATATTTTACATTATTATGGAATAGCACACTCGCTTAATGAGTGGTTAAACACGATCAATATTGAAGTATACCTTTGTTCATACATGTTGTGCTAGTCTATTTGTTACAATAAAGAAAATTCATTATAAAAAAAAACTTCTACGTCATTCGGTCTTTTATGGAGAGTCATCTCATTGGCAATCATACCACATCTTCTTATGGACAGTGCATGACTTGTTAGATTATCAGGGCAAAGTTATGTCATTTCAAAATTTCCAACAATTATATCAATTTAGGCCAAATATTTCACATTATTATGGAATAGCACACTCGCTTAATGAGTGGTTAAACACGATCACTATTGAAGTAAAGGAGAAACAAATTCAAGCAATACTACCTTTTAACATAAGTATCTTCTTTGAATCAAAAAAAGGTACAAAGGACATGTACAAAATATTGAATGAGAAATATATTACTTTTGCTGCAAAGGAAAAATGGGAGAACCATCTTAATATGGCTGGTATTAACTGGAAAAAAATACGCACTTCGTGTTCAAAATATACTAGAAGCACTAAGCTTTGCTGGTTCCAATATAGAATTATACATAGAATTTTAGGAACTAATTCACTACTTTACAAGATGAAAATAAATGGTAGCATCATATGTACATTTTGCAAAGAAGGACAAGCGACCATAGAACATTTATTTTGGAGCTGTCCGATGGTCGCCACTCTCTGGCATGCACTAAACATCTTGATTTTTGAAATGACAAATATTGAGCCTTTGAATATAATGATTATTCTATTTGGTATCTACGAAAATGTTAAATTGAATTTTGTTAAAAATAAGATTATTCTGCTTTCAAAATACTATATTTACCGAACAAAATTACAAGAAGTTTTGCCAAATTTAAATGCTTTAAAAAACTATTTAAAGGAACACTTGAACTTAGAAAAATACATTTCATTTAAAAACCTCTCTGTAGATGAATATAACAAATACTGGAGTCCCTGGGCCCCTATTATAAAATGAATAATGAATGTCGAATTTTGATTGCAACACCACTAATAGATATTGCAAGAACAAATAAGATTCCAATGTTATAAGAAAATTATTTATTTTCAACCTATTGTTGCACCATCATATTTTCAATTGTTGTTTAATTATTTAATACTTCCTTTGTGTGAATATGCCATTCTGTATACCTTTGTTCATACATGTTGTGCTAGTCTATTTGTTACAATAAAGAAAATTCATTATAAAAAAAAACAAACTTCTACGTCATTTGGTCTTTGATGGAGAGTCATCTCATTGGCAATCATACCACATCTTCTTACTTTTATACATAAATAAATTATATAATTTCCGATAATGTATCTATATTTTGTATATGAATAAAGTGTTATCAAACAGCACAATATTTCCATAACTCAGAACTTACGACTGCTATACGCCTTCATTCTTGACGCTGTGTTAACTGTGTCTCCAAACAAACAATATCTTGGCATCATTGACCCTACAATACCTGCCATACAAGGACCTGTCAAGAAAATGCAATTACTATAATATGAGCTATCAAAGTATTTGTTTTGTAAAATTACTGAGTAAAACTTGTTTTGTACTTGCAGAATCTAAAACTGCGAGACACATTATGAGACAGGACCATTCCCATTGTAATATACATGTATTACCAGTAGGACCATTTTCAAAAAGTCTTTGAATCTTTACTAAAATTTACAATACCATACTTTTGTTCACATATGCACACTTTGATATGTTGCCAACATAATGTCATAATTTGGAGCATTTCATGAAACGAATGTTTCTTATAGATGGCACAAACTGAAGGTATTCTTAAAAATAGGTCATTAAAAGTTAAGTTAAAGTTATCTTTTCGAAAGTTGAGCGGATTCTTGATTCGCTTTGCTCATTTATTACTTTCTCTTTTCGTTTTTTTATCATTATGGTGTTGTTGAGTTTTCTTCGACTTAATACTATTATTGATAGGCTCACTGGCAGCTCCTTGATTTTTTTCTTTTTTCTTAGTTTTCGTATTTTTCAAAGTTTCTATGTATTTTGAGGTAGCATGATACAATATACTATATTGATTTTAATATGTATACATTTTACTCAAAGTTATTCCTTAGAATATATATGCCTTCGTTCAAGTTATTCCAGTTATATTAACATTTTTTGTTGAATGTAACATATTTGTATTAATGAAAGTAATCGTAAATGTACAAACCAGAATTTATTCCAATTCTGAGTTCAATTGACCGGTGTCCACTGCAAAACTTCATCTCTGATACAGTATTAAGCATTTTTAGTGCAAAGTTTGCAATTTCCGATGCATGACGATCCTTGTTTCGCTGAGGTAAACCTAAAATGGCAAAGAAATATAAGCATTATCTAATTGGCTTGTCGCGGAATCATTAAAAAGGGATGGTATAAACGCGTGAGTTGAATTATAACAAATTATGAGAAATCCAATTTCATGAAACGATTCATAAAAATAGGAAAATAAATTTCACTGACGCCATTTCAGTCTTTATAACTAAACATAAGATGATTAAATTGTCTTTTACCTGAAGCTACCATGTAGCAATCATTTATTGTCTCCACTTTATAGGCATCAAAATCATCTAAGATATTATCCACTGTACTGTGAAGGGAATTGAGGAGTTTAACTATTTCCATGGGTGTAAGCTCTACTGTTATACGGTCAAATCCATGGACATCAGAAAAACATATAGTCACTGTCTTGAAATATTCTGCCTCTACCTTCTTTTGTCGTTTAAGTCGATTCGCCACTTGTTTCGGTACCATTTGATATAACAGTCCATCCGTACGTTCTTTTTCATTGGTCAATTCTTTTGTTTTGTCAACAAGGGTGAGGGCATATATCTGAATACTGCTTGTAAGACTTTCTGTTGCCATGATAACTAAAGGACACATTAAAATGACAACAACTAATAAAACGGCATTAACAGCCAGGTCAGTAGTTAAATTATCTATAGCCAAATCTAGAATGCTGATAACTTTCTGTGCCATCTGAGTTTGAATATCTAGCAAAGTATCAAGGTATATGGTCATGTTATCAAACCAATATCTTGATTTGCGCATATCAAGAACAGTCGTATTTTCAACTGATGTTTGAATCTCTTTCCTAAAAGCTTCGATGATTGAAGTAATATTAGTACCAGTATTTTGAAGACCTACATTGTATATTTGACCGACAAATTCAGAGTACATGCCTGCGGTTTTCATATGAGCCCGAAAGCTGTGCAGTTTTTTGTTATACATTTCGAAATAAGAATGTGATTCAAATCCACCTTGAGAATAAAACATGGTACCAAGAGCTCTTTCAACACCAACATTTTCCTTTGCACTTGCAAGTTTTTGATATGCCACGAGAATTTTCCAGACGAGAGAAAATTTGGATTCTGTTATTGTATTGTACAACCAATAAATTGTCGTATCAATGATTCTGGAGTAAAAATCGATTTCATCTTGAATTGAAAATCTGTCTGGACTTAAAATTTGTCGATGCCCTGCAAGATAGTCTTGAAAACTTGATTTGGACAAAAACATAGCACCATTTGCCTTGTCGAGATCACCGGGCCAGTATGACAGACGATCAATAGTTCTATCAGTATTGAAGTATTCTGCTAACAGGAATGTCCGTGTTTCTGGTCCCAGGGCACTTAAATACAGTACGCTCATATCCCTTTCAACTTGTAAACGATGTACCAACTGACCCACATCAATACTATAGTATACAGAGGAACGTTGCTAGAAATGATAAACAGCTCGCATTATTATGTATGACAATATGTTTCTATTTGTTGATTCAACTTATTTATTTGAAACATTTCTATAAAAAAGAGATTCAAGGCAAATTAAAAATAAATTTAAACTCATTGATTTAAATGTGGTTAATTCATTGAGATCAATATAGTAACAAAATAACTATTGCAATGTCAATGATAATTATATATAATAAGGATTCAGATAGGTTTTTGAAAGAATGCAATTTTATGATTGGTTACTTTTACACAATATAAATGGAATTTTTGTTTGTTTTAGCATTTAATTTTTATTAAACACATTCAGTATAATTTCGAAATACTGTGATTTTTGAGCTAAGAATAAGGTATTTTCACTCCTCTGACGTCATACAAGCATAGGTGTTGTCGAGATGTTGCCATAGAAGTTGCATCAAAATGAAGTGAGATAGGTGAGAACATATTGAATAAGCCACAGTTCTATACATTTTCTCTTCTAATTAAAGTTTGGTCACTCGTTTTAATATTTTTCGACTGCAAATTCTTCTACAAATTCTTTTTCCAAATTGAACGTATCAGCATATAATCTTTTAAGTTTACTTTTAAAGATAATAATTTTGTGCTTTGTTTCCGTAATGGAAAGTCTTTTAAATCCGCATAATGCAATTCCGGCTTTGCTTTGGTACACGAAAAACAAGAGTAAATTAAAATACTTAACACTCGTAGCAGTGATTTAATTACCAACAGCCGGTTGTACGAACGTGGCATTAGTCAAATTGTCATTAAGTCTTCATTAAGCCTTTATGATGCATTTGGCTAATGAAGACTAAGTGACTCATTAGACTAATGACACGTTCGTACAACCGACTGCAGGTCTTTCTTGTACATCTTAAATACACATTGCAATAACCATTTATTAATAGGTAATGCTTACAATGACTTGAGAATATTTCATAATTGCTTAATTACAAAAATGTATGAAAATCATGGTATGTAAATATTATAAAAAGACTACAATGACTAAGACCTTGTTATTTTCTTCTCTACTGTTAATACTGTCTGCCAGAGTATACACTGTGTATCCCCATAAACCTAAGATAGGTAGTACAGTCAAACATAACATTTTGATTAACTGTAACCTTTTCCCTGTTTGTGATAACGGTTCATCTCTGCAAAAACCTAAAATAAAAACATATCTACTTATAACTGAATCATGTTTACTTATCACTACATTATGTTTACTTATCACTGAATTATGTTTTCTTATCACTGAATCAGACGAGCATATTTACTTATAAATGAATTAGACGAACATATTTACCTATAACTAAAGCAGACGAGCATATTTACTTATAACTGAATCTGACGAACAAGCGTGCTTATAACTGAATCAGGCGCCGTTTGTATTTTATCTAATCACCATATTATTATCATAGGATGAAAATAAAAGATAGACTTTTGCTCAGATATAATATATAATAAGAGGTTTTATAGTATTTTCTGGCACTATCCTACAAATTTAGTTATTTCTAATTAGTAATATATGTATGTTTATTCAAATTTTTATATATTATACCTCTGCCGATGAGTGGAGGTTGAACTATGTCTAAAATATCGGATGTTCCATCTGTCGTGCTTATTGAACCAGTTTTTGTTTTCTTTGAAATTTTCCTGTAATGACAAGAATAAAGTATTAGGGTATTAAAATTTTGCTAAATATTAGTAAATGTGGTAAAAGTTGAATATTAATAAATGTAGTAAAAGTTGAATATAAATAAATGTAGTAAAAGTTGAATATAAATAAATGTAATAAAAGCTGAGTATATTAAGTAAATGTAGCAAAAGCTATATAAGTCCATTAGTAAAAGTTGAATATAAATTTGTAAATGAGTAAAAGTTAAATATAAACTTGTACATTAGACAAAGTTGAATATAAGTAAATATAGTAAAAATGGAACATAAGTATATGTTGTAAAAGCTAACTATAAGTAAAAATCGTAAAAGTTGAATATAAGTACATATCACTCAGAGTTGAATGTAAATAAATGTAGTGAAGGTTGAATATAAGGAATGTAGTAAAAGTTGAATAAAAGTCAAAATGTAGTAAAAGTTGAATATAAATAAATGTAGTAAAGGTTTCCTCACTCATAAAAATGCTAGATGATTATCGTGTGAATTGTATTCTGGTGTTATTTAAGTTATGCTTTGGAGTTCGGTATTTTTGTTATACTTTTTTGATATAGACAGTGTTCTAACAAACGATATTATTTCTGTGTAGAAATTTGTAAATTGATTTTGACAGACAGTCTTCTAATATAAACATTATCAGATCTGTGCAAAAACGTAAATTGGTATGGACAGACAGTGTTTGGTCTTTGAAAAAAAACGTAAATTAACATAGACGGATCATTATAAATGAGTTAAATTTCACTAGAAACATACTAGTATACCGTGTGCACTTGAATCGGAATCGTCAGGTTTTATTAAAACGTTTTAGGGTGATATCAGAATTGTTATTGAGATTTCATATATTAAAATTCAAATACTAAATTTTGTTTGTATAATTTTGTTATAGAAACTAATATCAACTTAAAAAGAATTATTTTAAATTCTGTTACATAAATTGTAGTGAATATGCACATACATTTTTAAAGTTCATTTAATTTTTTTAACTTTGAATACTTTCTTGTTTCAGGCTTCACTAGCAATTAGATACATTATATATTAAATATATTTACCAATTCTTGTCCTTTTCTGTCTTTTCCGTCATTTTCTTTCAGAAAATTAGTATCTCCTATTTTTTTTTTTTAACAATAATTTAACATCATTTTCTTACGAAAATTTTGATAGTTTCTCTGATTTTTATTGATGTTGTTAGGGTGGTTGTCAACGATTTTAATTATCACTTGAATCTTCAAGTCCAATTCATTATCACCTTTGTCTTTCTTGAAAAATCGATTACGTTTTACACCTTATATATGTATATAATCACCACAAATGGTACATGGACACCCAATACAACCGTTCTCACTACACAAAGTAGTAAATTGAATGTGCATCCAAAATTATTCTATGAAATTAATATTTTTACCCCTTATTTCTATAAGTAACCTTTTATTTAAAGGCGGGAACACTACTATTATCATTGAATAAATAATACAAGTACAACGTTTACAGAGGAACTCGAATATTCATAAAAGAATGTGAACACTGGTTACTTCATATGCATAATATTTTACTGATTTAAAACACGACTTTCGCATTAAAAAGATAATATCAAAACTATTAAGCACACTAATAGACGGACAGTACAGGCGAGTGACATTTTACAAAAAGACGCATAGTTAACGTCTTTAATGCACACAACTAACATACGACTATATTATATATCATTCGAAAGCTTATTATCTGTACTTTCTGTTTTTCCCGGTCATCAATAAATCTTACGGTACAATTATTGCTAGATCAAGGTCAAAGGTCAAGAAAGGATATTCCTAAATTTCGGAAGAATTAAACAAAATGCCCTTTGCTGGTTCTTGTATGATATATATATTCTTAAATCATATGAACATAATAGAACAGATACCATATTTCCAATGCTGATTGCGCAATATTTTCAGAAAATTGCACTTCCTAAAAAATCCCTCAAAAATGACAAAATTTCGCTAAAAGCAAATTATTTCTTCATGTATCAATATTTATATGTCAAAGATAAAATAAATTTATCGTTTATAGGTGAAGGGATTTTTTTCGTCAATTCAAATGCAATTAACATAATATTGGTCAAGAATTCCAATGAAGCCTTTGCAGCTGACCTAATTACCACCATATGCAAATAGGAATCATTTTGCTTTTCATTGGTTAGATAACACACCGATTATTGTCAATATCAGTAGAAAATAATTTACCATACTTAAAAAAGGGGTAATAAAAGTGCTTAAGGAAAATACAAGATATATACAGCAAAAGTGTAGTTTATTTTCAATGTCGAAAGTGGAAGACATGTTAAGAAGTTTATTCACGTTCAATATTCGAATGAATACTGTTTGCACCACGCGCTTTACAATCACAAAGCCGGCTATCTTTTGTTTATGTTAGCACATTATTACATACTATATTAGTTGTTTTATCAAGTATGACAGAAAATTGATATTGTGGAAGGTTGATTACCCTTCCTAATCAATTTCAATCACCACCGGTTTAAGGTAGTGTTCGTACATTTCGGTGTAGTGTTTTGAGGACTGTTGTTTGTCTGTCCTACATTTATCGCGTTGGTCATGGTGTTATATATGTGTTTATCGGAAATGTAGTAATCATCTTGTCCCTACGCCCATTTGTTATGGTCGTTCAATACATATATCCATCCATTTGTCTAGAAAAATAAAAGCAATACTCCTCCTACATCGCTTGGTAGTGAATTTTAAAGTTTTAAAGTGTACATATAGAGATTGTACAGGAAGGAATTTTATTCATGATAAACACATTAAAATTCACCATTACAGTCCTTAACTAGTTAACTAACGCTTGTATTTCCCACATTTAAGCATACCATTTTGTATGGGTTTTTATGTCAACTAATATCAGACACTTATTGCAGTTATTAGATCTTCGCACCATTAGAAAATCAAACAAACAGATTATAGCATGTAAAGCATTAAAATGTAAAAAAAAATAAAAAAAGTTTACTTATTCATGTTTGGATAAAGTTTTAGAAGAGGGGCGAAAGATACCAAAGGGACATTCAAACTCATAAGTCGAAAATAAACTGACAACGCCATGGCTAAAAAAGAAAAGATAAACAGACAAACAATATTACACAAAACACAACATAGGAAACTAAAGACTGAGCAACACGAACCCTACCAAAAACTGGGGGTGATTTCTGGGTTTACTGTATAATTTAGTTTTTGGAAAGGACAATATTTCAAATCAACCAATTTTGTCAACCAATTTATTTACCCGATTTTTGTGATAAGAATAAGAAAAATAACGCGAATATAATTAACCTCGTTCTTTTCTAGTATGAAAATAAAGTGTAAAAATCGCCAAAACAATCGCTGCCAAGTCAACAACAGAGGGCTTAACGCAGGAATATGAAAAGTGCTATGTTTAGTCAAACGTTGCTTACTTTTACAAAAGTTCTTGGTGATGATTGGTTGAATTGTTGGTGTGACACCTACAAAGTTATGTCTTTCTTTATAGCTATTTATTTTACATGTAATAATTTAACTATAATCATAAAAAAGCGAATTTGCTAGAATTTTCAAATAAAAAGATATAGACTGTAAGATGATGTAAATACACTCCTCATAGATACCAGACAAAAAATGTACGTCAGACACGCGTTTCGTTTACAAAAGACTCATCCGTGACGCTCGAATCAAAAGAGTTTAAAAGGCCAATTACAGCACGAAGTTGAAGAGCATTGATTACCCCCACATTCCGAAAGGTTTTCCCAAATGCAGCTAAGGTTATCTATTTCAGGGGTAGAAAATCCGTAGTATTTCGAAAAATGCAATGTTTTGTAAACAGTTGATTTACAATTATGACCATATCAGTGATAATTCATGTCATCGTAGAAGTGCTGACTAATGGGATGGTGGTACCCTCGGCGATGAAACCTCCACCAGTAATGGCATCAACCCAGTGGTTGTAAATAAACTCATCATAGATACCAAGCTTACATTTTGTACACCAGAGGCCGGTTTTGTCTATAAAAGACACATTAGTGACGCTCGAATCAAAAAAGTTAAACAGACCAAATAATGTACGAAGATGAAGAGCATTGAGGACCCAACATTCCGAAAGGTTTTGCCAAATACAACATGCAACTGCAAGTAACTGCAACATGTCAATTTTCATATAAAAAAATTACGTATTTTGATAGGGTTTCTTACTTCGGACAGACACAAAGAACATTTTCAGTGTATAGAATATAATAGTTTTCACATCTTTCGTCAATGCATGATGCAGTTGAAGTTACCAAGAAAACAAATTTTCTAATTTGTATAAGAGAAATATTTGAAATTCAACTTTTTATTAACTATGTAATTATCTATTTATGCTTTATTTTGTTTGGGCTAGCATAATATTTATAACAAAATAATAAGAAAAAAAAAACAGAAGAGTTTTTAACAG